GCGGAGATCGAGACAGTGAGATTTTGGGAGAAGCGGGCCGCGTGGGACACGTGGAGCGGTGAGTTTGGGTTAACTCATACTCAGCATTCATATTTATCGGAGCGTATCCATACAACACTCCCAGAGGCCGCGTATTATACTACTCTGCAGAGCGAGAGACAGAGACAGAGACAGAGACAGATGGGCAGAATGAGAGGAAAGAAACGAAACATGACGACGAAAGAGATCCCGACAGCAACAGCAGAGGAATTCTCGCCCCAATCTGGAACCAATGCGCCGACGCTAGAGATTTCGTAGAGACACGAGGAAGAAAGCTGACTGGTCTGCCCCTGGCAGACTTCGGTACGTTCCCTGTTCCCCAAGATTGCACTCTCGGGGTACAGAGTAGTGCCACGGATACTACTCGTACTCGTACTAACGGAGTATTGTTATATGTACTCTCACCACGCTGTTTTGGTGAGCGAGGTACGGAGTGCGAGTAATCTGTAATCTGTATTCTGTACAAATGGCGAGGACAAAACTAAAAGGGCTGCGGGCCGTATGGACTAGTACAGTAGTAGTAATAACGATATTATTACCTTTGGTGGGTTCTCTGCTCATGTATAATGTTATACGAGTATGTATTATTTAGTGCTTGTTTCGCACCGCAGTCGATGGTTCATCGTATCTTTACGGAGTACAAGTAATAAATAGTATCTGTATCTGTACGCGTAGTGGTGGTGTCGTCTACGTGAGGGACCCAGGGACAAAAAGAATCTGCCTCTGACAATCGGTGCTCTCGTAAACATACATCGAACTGCCGGTGGAACAGGTGTTTGTATGAAAATATGACGGACCCCTTTGTTTGATTGACGGCATACTCGTGATATTACAACGAGTATCTACAGGAGCAGGTAGAGTGGCAACTAACCGTGCTTCTCACTAATTCGAGTGGTACCCCTAGCATCTGCCGTATGTAACGTCTGGTATTGGCAGTTTGAGGCAATGGAAATGCTCATCCTTATTGTATGATGACAACGTACTCAAGTCGCTGTTGTATTGTAATCTGTACTCGTACTCACACCATATCGCCGGTCAACTCTCAACTCTTCCAACCCCCCCCTGTCTGGCGCAGGATCCAACCAGCCATGCACGTTGCAGACCAACCAAACCCCCTACCTCTGCTCCAACTTGTACTTCTAATATGTAGGTACCGCCGAACTGATAATACGACTGTTTTGTAGCAATAATAATAATATCGCACCTGTCAACCGTGGCGCATAACACCAGCAACAGCAGCAGTAGCAGCCCGAGCACCATACGAGTACCGCTGAAGCCAAGCCGTTGCTCTTTCCTTAGCAGCGTTTTCCTGCCCAGCTTCCTGCCTTGTAACTCGTAATTTCCCATCGCTCCTGCTCCTGCCCTCGTAATCATTCAATCCTCACCTCTCCCCCCCGCTCCTTCCCTCTTCCTCGTCACCACACACACGCACAATTTGCTGTTGTGCCCGAAGTCTTGCTTCTTTGGTCATTTTCTCTTCTTCGGTGTTGTGCTCCATCGCAAGGTACGAGGGGAACCAGTCTCTTTTTTCTTCTTCTCTCTTCTCGTCACTCGTTCCTCTCGTCTTTCTTTTCAACCGAGTCTGGCTCTTGGCGGCTGCGATTTCTCCAATATTAGGTAGGGCCGCCTTCCAACGAACCACGACAGCGACCAGAACCCTCAGGGGATAGAGGCCTAAACGCCAACGCACGACAACTCACACTCGCTTCGACCCAGCTGTCACATTTTCTACTCCTACCTTCCTTTCCACCGACATTTCTCTCCTTCTACTCTTTCCCTTCTCGATATTCGCTTTCTGCCTTTCTCTTCCTTCTCCCCCCCCTTGGCAACCGACTTCAAGCAAAGGCATCTCGAGAAAGAGGAGGAACAACCAAATACAACCTAAGACAAGAAAAATCAAAGGCAAGGGACTCGAAAAGGAACCCGGTTTTCATCCCTACGCACCGCAGTGACCACATACATCCTGTGTGTCTCTGTTTCTTCCTTTCTTTTTTCAGCTTCGCCTCGTTCTTTCAAATCTGCCGTATGTCCCCCGTACGCGCACGCCGATAACACGACTCAGACGCTTCTTTGCCTCCTCGAGATCCCGATACCGCGTCTGCCTTAACATCGCCTCTTTCCCGAAAAGAAAAGAAGAAGGGGCTACGCTTGTTCGATTTGTCGTCACCGATTCGTGCAGATAATGACGGCTCGTCTTTTTTCCTAACCAAAAGGAGATCTTGCCGATACCATCTCGCTCGGACTGGCGTCATTTTAATTCCTCAATTCTTCTTCTCTCACCTAGTCTCTGTGTTTCCATCCTCACTTCTACACGGTTTCAAGGATGCATCGGGGCTCTGCACCCAACCATGGCCCTATAGCCATGCGAGGTGCCCTCGTTGCCCTCCTCTCTGTTGCCCCGACGCTCATTGCCGCTCAGTCCGACTGCATCTCACTCAAGGGCTCGTCGACTTGCCCGGCCTTTGAATCGGCTTCCATCTCCAAGGATGAGAGCCTCATCCAGTCTTTGTGAGTCTGACCCTGGAATCTGGGACGCCCCGTCGTCTTGTACTGAGTCATGCTAACTCTGACATTTTCAAAAAAAAAAAAGCCCTTTTCTCGACTACGTGACAGACACATCGTCATTTGACAGTCAATTCCTGACCTACGTCCAGACTACGTATGTTCGCTCAAAGTACGAGAATGTCTTTGGCTGTGACGACGTCGACCTCAAGTCGGCAGACTACTATGCCCGGTATACCATGTCTGTCCTGTGTAACTCCATGGTGCAGAAGTCGGCCGATGCCTGTGACCTATCCTCGAGCGAGTCTATCCCTCTCTGCGCCGACTCGTGTGCCGAATTCGCCCAGAGTGCCTCCTATGTCACCTCGGACACCGACCTCTGCACCAACCCTGTCGACGATCTCACCAGCCTGATCCGAGCCGACTTCGTCACCTGCAGTCTCCCTGGAAAGTCCCTGTCCGGAAACTCGTGCATCGACGCTTCTGAGAACGAGTCTCAGAACTGTGGCTTCGCCAACAGCACCCTTGGTTTCTGCTGGTACTGCTCCGAGGGCGGAATCAACTCGACCGACACCTGCTGCTACAACGGAAACGCCGAGGACCGTTGCAAGGGCGTCAAGCTCCCCACTATCACCTCGACTATCGACTTCGAAACTCCCACCTCGACTGCTGAGCCGACCTCTTCATCGTCCCCCGACGACGACGACGACGGCGGGTTGAGCGGTGGTGCTATTGCCGGCATCGTCATCGGTGCCATCGTCGGTGCCGCCATCATCGCCCTTGCCCTCTTCTTCTGCATCCGCAGGATGAAGAAGCGTCCTGGCAGCCAACAGAGCAGCATCTTCAACCAGCCTTCGCCCTCGCGTGGCGCACCCTCTGTGACTGCTGCCACCGCTCCTAGCATGACCCAAGCACGGCCCGACGCTCCCCAGGGATACGAGGTCCTTCCCGGCGGACGCATCGCCCGCATGTCGGCTCTCGAGGGCCACTCTGACAGGTCGTCCCAGCACCGTGGAAAGTCGGCAACGGCTGCTGGCGTTGCTGCCGGTGCAGCCGCGGGCTACGCGGGTAGCCGCCGAAAGGGTAGCCACACACAGTCGTCATCGTCCGAGTATGGCGAGAGTCCGCATTCAGACATGCGCACCGCCCTGCGCCCGCCCTTGAGTGCACAGAGGAGGAATGGCTCGCTGTCGAGCAACAGTATCTTGGCCGCATCGGCACCGCACTCGCCCACCAGCGCCGAGGGCTTCTCGTCGCCCCAGGGCGTCAGCAGTCAGCAGTCGGAGCAGCTGCCATTCTTCAAGGATTACTACTCCCAGGACGACATTCATCCTGGGGACCGAGTTGCCGTCTTGTGGGCATACCAGCCGCGAGCCGCAGACGAGTTCGCACTCGACCGCGGCGACATGCTCAAGGTGGTTGGCATCTGGGATGACGGTTGGGCAACGGGTATTCTCGTCGACGAGCGTGCCGAGGACTGGGAGGCCCGCCACAACCCCCAGAGGGATAGCGGTGTCTCCCATGCCTCTGGTCGTCGCGGCAGCTCTCCCCCAGGCTCGGGAGAGATAAAGGCCTTCCCCCTGGTCTGCGTCTGCCTGCCTGACCACTGGCGCAAGACAATTGAGGGCGACGGTTCGACAGAGTCGGGGTCCAACGGCGCTGCCCCCCAAACATGATGATGATGCCTACTTGCAACTGTTTTTGAGAGCGTTGGGGTTTTTTTTGAGGCCTCTTCAAAGCAACTGCCTTTAGCATATTCGTATATTCCCTCCATTTCCTCTTTCGGGCGTTCAGGTGTCGTCAGCCATTCTTCATTTTTGTCACTTCTTACACTCCCTTATACTATATTTTACTTGATGTCTCTCACTCCTTGCCCTCCACTGCTTGGGGAAGAAGAAGCCATATCTGGAACCCTCGGTATTCCGCTCCGCCGCTGCGGACATCCATCTCGTTTCGGCCGACACGCTTGATGCTATTTCTAACGACAATTTCATTTTCCGACTTGAAATTCTTTATATCCGTCCTCTCAGACCACAATCTAGACAGGCGGAGCGAAGTTCCTTTTAATGCCCCGTAACTTCCACTGCCTTCAACTCCCTTCTCTCTCTCCCTCTTTCAACATTTTGACACATATTTTTCATATTTTTTTTCTTCATTCCGTATACCCGGCAAATGTTTTGCCATTGAAGCTGTCAAGGTGCAGGCGGAGGAGACGGAGGTTTAGGTGTAGGATGGAAGAAGGAGGGGGGGGGGAGGGAGGGCCGAGAAGGGAAAGGTGATGGAAAGCGATGTCCGTGGCTGGAGGTGGAGGAGTTGGAACACATGTTCATGTCGGACTTTTTGCTTCTATCTTGTGAGATTATCTCTTCTTTTATTGGAGGTTATTTTCTCGTCATACACGACAACATACAACAAAACCATTCATACAGTGTATATAAAGGCTCAGGGTGGGGGACAGAAGAGAGAGTAATATTGGTTTCCCTGATGATTCATATTTCATTGGACTAGATAGGATTATTCTACATTTGTCGTCCCCATCTTGACGAAAATGTTTCCCTCGTAATAGTAATCCACGACTAGACAGAGTGACTGCCCCGCAGGTGGGGGTTAGTGGGGTTCAAGTTTCTGTGGTCGGTGTTCACCTCGTTCACTGAACACCAACAACGCGCTCTCAACCTGTCGGCTTCGTCTGGTGTATGTTGAAGCCGGCCGCCTCCGTAATACAGACTTGGCATCCAGCCTTTAACTTTGAGAGACGGTTGAGACTGGGAGGAACAACCTGCAAAGGCCCGCCATGTCAGACCGACAGGTCAAGGCCGACGCCGAGGCCTTGGTACCTCAATTCAAGCTCGACCGTGTTCTCAATCAGGGTGAGTCTTGCCTGTCGCTTTCCCATCCTTGACACATTGCTCATGCCCAAACTCCCCGAGCAAGCAAACGACTACAAAGAAGGGAAAGCAAGTCCACATACCAGGGAGCTTGGAAAGCCGAAGAATTGGGGAGAACACATCAAGGACGGCAGAAGGGAAGGAGGAGGAGGAATGAGAGAAGGAAGGAGAGCTGACCAAAGTACGGTATGCAGACCAAGCTGGCCGCCGCACAAGCATCCTAGGCACGATCAACTCGAAGCAGGCGCTCCTCGTCCTGGAGCGTGCGCCGTTCCCCTCCTCCGCGGCCCATCTAGCCTCCATCCCGGTATCGCTCGCCCGGCTGCGCAACCTCGGCGCCAACGACGTGTACAACTGGTATATGGCAAGGACGGGCACCGCGGAAGGACAAGGAAAGGCGCAAGGAGGACAGGACGATGAATCAGAAGAAGACGATGGAAGCTTCTTTGCTGATCTCAAGATCAACCTCATCTACCCCTGCACGGAGACGCACATCAAAAAGTACAGCAAGCAGGGCGTGCGCTTCGTGACGGAGACGCCAGAGATCTACGCCGAGCAGATAAGGCCGTACATCCAGGCCAAGAGGGAGCAGGGGCGGCTGAACTGGGTCTTCAACATACTAGACGGCAAGACTGAGGTCGAAGACGTCATCTACCGGACGCAGCCTTGGGGGGTTGAGCCAGCGCCAGCGTCGGCCTCGGAGGGATCGGAGGGGTTTCTGCTCCTGCCGGACCTCAACTGGGACCGCAGCACCATGGACGCTCTGCACCTGCTCGCTCTGGTGGAGCGGAGGGATCTGTGGTCGCTGCGCGACCTGCGCAAGAAGCACGTCGGCTGGCTACGCAGGATGAGGAGGCGCCTCGTCGACGCCACTGTGGCCACGTACCCGTGCCTAGAGGCTGACCAGCTCAAGCTGTACCTGCACTACCAGCCCACTTACTACCACCTGCACGTGCACATCGTACACGTCGCGCTCGAGGCGGGCGCCACGCAGGCCACTGGTAAGGCTGTCGGACTCGACAGCATCATCGAGACCCTCGAGGTCATGGGCGGAGACGGCGAGGCAGGCATGGACCGTCTCGCCATGAGCTATACTATCGGTGAGGCGAGTGAGTTGTGGGAAAAGGTGTATGAACCTCTCAAGAGGTCTCAACAATGAGATTTCTTCTTCTACCACTCATTCTTCTTCTCCATATATATATATATATATATATATATATATATCCACATATATACACACACGTTTCTCTGCAAGTTTGTCGATTTCTTCCATGGGGGGGGGGGTAGGGGTATATTCTGCTCTTTCCAATCCGTCTGCTTTGCCTAACAGGTCTATCTCTTTCATGAATGGTACAGCTTCTCGATGGCGATGATGAGGTCGTTGACGCCAGAACCGTGCGGGCAGTCGGACCACTCGCCGCCGTCGCGGATACAGTAGATTTCATTGTCGAGACGGACGGTGCAGCTCTTTGTCACGTTGGCCTGGCGGATATTGTGTTAGTTACTTTTCCTTCTTCTCCTCCCTTCCCTGTACGCAAGGGTTTGTACAGGGGTGAAGACGGCATATTACCTCGGCAGTCCTCCGGACGCTGGCACGGAGAAGGTCGATACCGTGGGCACCGTCGTCCTTGGTGGCGCACTCGTTGATGGCGTCAAAGTCTACGGCGTGCTCAAGGGCGCAGTCCTCGATCAGGCTGCGATCGGGGATGGATGTGTAGTCTCGGGTGAGGCACATGACGAAGCCGAGGTAGATCTTTGGGTCGGGGTAGAGCTCGAGGGCGCACAGTTCGATGATGTTGCCCAGGCATTCGGGGGGACCGTGCAGGCAGTCGACGCCATCGTGGGAGGTGGTCCTTGCGGGGACAGGGACCGTCAATACGCAGGGGTGAGGGAGGGAGAGAGAGAGGGGTTTCGGACTCGGGATGGATACTCACTTTCCAATGTAGGACAGGGTAAAGTCAACCTCGTCGGATACGCGCTGCATGACGGGTAGGATGAGCTCGCGCAGGGCGTCCTAGATTATTGCCCTCTCTGTTAGTCGCAAAGCGACTGCTGTGTGTCGTTGCCGTGTGGTACTTACCCTCGTGTCAGGGCACTTGCTGATGATGTGCGCCTCGAGGGGGACTCGGTGCTCGGCGGGCGAGACGACGTCGAGATTTTGTTGTTGTTGGTGGTGGTGGAGGTGGTCTGACGAGGAGAGGTCGGAGGTGGTGGTGGTGACGTGGATGGACACGCTGCGGTGGAACGTCGTCAGGTACAGCAAGGTCATGACGACGAGGAGGGCGACGGCGACGAGGGAGTGGCCGCGGCGTAGAGCACGACGACGTTGTGTCATCGTACCGGGGTGACGCTGCTGGTGCTGGTGCTGGTGTCGGTGCTGGTCGAGAGGGGCGCTGTTCTTTTCCATCATGTGCGACGGTTGTGTTTTGGTGTGAAGTGAAGCGTGATGCGAAGAGCGAGGGGATGATGTGTCTGTCGGTCCGTCGCGGCGTTGGTTGTGTGAGGCGGTTCCAGGTAAGAGAGAATAGATTTAGATGGACATCACAGAGAAGAGAGAGAGAGAGTGAGTGAGGGAGAGTGAGACAGTGAGACAGTGAGAGAGCAAGGCGTGATCATCGGACGTCTGGGGTATTGAACCGTTTATTAATACCAAAGTTTCATGGTTCCGGGTCGAGCCGGAATATACACGGAGTTCGGGGGAATAGGATGATGGCAGCTGGTCAGGCAAACGTCCGTACGATGATTCTGATTTGTTGGCTTGACTTGACGATGATGATAAATGGAGCTGACGAGGAGCAGATGCCAGTCGATGGTGGTACCAATCCCGTGAATGATTGGAACATCTGATGAAGCTACAACGCCAATCTTCTGCTGGCATTTCTCTGGGCGTACGACGTAACATTCAGCGGTGATGAGCCGTGTAGCCTAGCAGCTAGCTAGGTGCTTATAGTGGTTCCAGGGGGGGGAGGGGAGGGGGAACATCACTGCTGTCCCACCATGTGCTGTCGTGGGATGGGAGGGCTCTAGCTACGCGGGCAGCTGCACCGGGCACTACAGATTACAGATTACAGACACGATTACGCAGTAGACTTCGGCGGACTTTGGTGGACATTGGCGCGCTGATCACTGTAAGATGGTACGAGTACAGTGATATATAATACCAATTAGCCGTCCCCTCCCCGGTAATTCATGTCCCTCACAATAAGAAAATGACCGCATCAGATTATATGAATATTATACAGTTGGTAGAATGCCGTACTGCGACTTTGCGTATGAGTATACCGCCCCGAGAGTACAGATTACTAACTACAGATCACTGTAGCAGTAGTAATAAACGACTATCATATACGCCTAGTACCACATCTTTTGATGCTGTATAGTCAGGTCAGAAGTGAGATATATATATATATATATGATCACTTCTATTACGCAAAGTACGGACTATGCTAGTTTCAAGTACATGGCCATGAGGATCAGAAACTGTTCATAACTGTCTCTTAACCAAGTGCCTGCTGTAATGTATTATATATCAGCCAACTCAGTCCAGACACGTTTGCCGTGAATCGCATTCACTCACTCCCCTCCTTTTCTGCCTCATGCCTTCATTCTACCTCGCCCAGTCCTTTCATACATTTACTTCCTATACCCTCCCACAGTCTCTCCGTCCCTCTTTTAGAGCCTCAGCTTACCATATCATCTCTTGCGTAGAGTAATGTCCCTAGTTGGTAGCGTCCTTCACTAATAATAACTTCAGCCGCGCCCCTCTCTTTCAGCCCCTCTCCGCGCGTGCGCGCGCGCACACACACACACACACACACACACACACACACACACACACACACACACACCCACTCACTCGCTCACTCACCCGCACGCTCACACTCACACCCACACTCACGCATACTCCCTCTATCTATCATCGCCAGAGGGGGTACAAGGGAAGAGAAGACGAAGGAGAAGAAGGAGAAGAAAGAGGAACGGACAAGGAGGGGGAGATAGAGGGAAAAGGAAACAACGGCCGACATACTCGTAGACGACATCGTGATGGATCCCACCACCACCACCATCCCAGAGCCCCTCGCTCACTTCCTCGAACCATTCCGCGTCAACCTAGACATGATTCACGACTTGTCCTCTCGCTTCCTGACCACATTCGCTCATCTCTCAGCCGAATCTACCAATCAGTTTCTGCCCACGCCCATCTCCGATGCCATTCTGCGACCTGTTGGCAGGAGAGGTAGCGGTTGGTGAGTCTCAGCCCCCCCCCCACCAAGCTCCTACTACACGTACCTAGGCTAACAGCATCATCTCTTAGCTACCTCTCCATGGACATGTACGACTCATCCCCTCTCCCTCTCCCCCTTCTTCTCTCCCTCTCTCTCGTTGCCTGACTGCTGACAGTTTATATATAAAGTGGCGGCTCCAATCTGCGCGTGGGCTTCGTCGAAGTCGTCGGCAGGCATGAAACCGGTGACGGTACAGCTGCAGATCGCATCAAGCGTCACCTGGAAGAATCGTGGTCCATAGATGACCGTCTGAAGAACGACAACGCAGACAGCCTCTTCGAGTGGATAGGCAGCTGCGTAGCCCGCGTCGTCGACAGGGGATGCTCCGTTCTCGACCTGGCCCGGGACCGACCGCTCCCCCTCGGCGTGACCTTTAGCTTCCCCATGGAGCAGACGTCCCTGGCCGAGGCGAGGCTCATGTCCATGGGTAAGGGCTTCGCCGTCTCGGCCAACCTCGATCTGGGATCGCGACTCCTAGCCGGCTACGACGTCGCCAGGAGGGCACGGCAGTCCTCCACGCCGACGGCGACGGCGGCAGCGAGGCCGCTACCGCCGCTGCGCGTGGCCGCTATAGCCAACGACTCCGTCTCCACCCTCGTATCCTTTATAGTACGGTATGACGACGAGTCGGGGTGCGAGTCCGAGACTGCCGTCTCTGCTGCTGCTGATGTCGAGGAGGAGGAAAAGAAGTATCACGGGCGTCGAGGCCGCCTAAGCCGTCGCCGCCGCCGTCGCGCCTGCATGGGTCTCATCCTTGGAACGGGGTGCAACGCCACCATCCCGCTGCCCATGTCCCGCCTGCACCCTTCCAAGCGCCCGCCGAGCGTGAGCGTGCTGCCCGGCTCGGCCGTCTCGTCCGATGTGCGCGTCACCGTCAACACGGAGTGGAGCATCAACGGGACGGCCCCGCCCCTGCGCGCCATGGGCCTCGTCAGCCGCTGGGACCGCGAGCTCGACTCGGCCAACGAGGCCCCCGGTTTCCAGCCCCTCGAGTACATGACGGCAGGGCGGTACCTGGGCGAGCTGGGCCGCATCATGCTGGTCGACTACCTCACCTCCGTCATGGGGGTCGACCCGGCCGCCCTGCCGCCCGGCCTGCTCCGGAGGCACTCCATGACGACCACCTTCCTCAGCCACTTCAGACCCCTGCGCCGTCCGGCCGCTCATCTCCTGGCGTCCCTGGAGGCCGAGTTCCCCGCTGCCACCGCCGCCGCCGCCGCCGCCGTCGGGCCCGGACTGTTCGCGTTCGCGTGGACCGAGGACATGGCCGTCGCGCTCTACCACATCGCCAAGGCCATCGAGGTGCGCGCCGCCGGCATCGTCGCCGCCGCCACCGTCGCTCTGCTCATCCTGGGCGGCGAGCTGTCGCCCGATGCGTCCGACGCGCCGGACGTCTTCGACGACCTCGGCGTCGGCTATACGGGTGGCTGCATAGTCCACTTCCAGGATTACCTCGTCGACTGTCAGGCATTCATCGACGGGCTCGTGGCCAGACGTCTCGGTCCCGACCCGGCACAAAGGGTCGTCCTCTCTCCCTGTCATGATGGTGGCATCACGGGTGCTGGCATCCTTGTTGCTGCTGCTTCCGAGAGCGAAGATGCCCACGTGTGATTGTATTCCATCTCCTTTTATTTTCAAATACAACATTTTCTAGAATATAAGCCATCCATTTTGTTTTCGGACATCTCTTGTTATACATGTATCCCCCCAACGGAAAAAGCGAGCATGGGAAACAAATAAATTGGTCCATTTGTTTTTTTTTCTTCTTCTCCTCTTCCGAAATAAATAATCATAACACCTAAGAAACAGTAGGAGAGGAAAACCCCATCTTGTAAAAGTTCTTTGTATACAATCGAAACAAGTGTACAGTGAAGAGAGAAGAAGAGTGATTAGTGAAACCCATTCATGTCCCCCGCCCGCAACGAGTCGAGCTCCTCCCTCGCCCGGCGATACTCGTCCTGCGCCTGCCTCTCTCGTGTGGTCACGGCCGACACCTCGTCTCTGAGGGCGCCCAGTCGTCTCTGGATCGCCACGTCCTCTGACACGGCCAGTGCTTGGAAGCCGGCCAGGGCATCGCGTGCCTTGCACAGCGCGTCGTCTGCCTCGATCATCTTGCTCCGCAGCATCTTCTGCCGCTTCTGATACCCGCCTAGGTGGAGGGCTAGCTTCTTCTCCAGCTTGGCTCCTTGCTCGGCCGACGTCATGATGGAATCTTGGACGGACTGTGAGGTGGGTAGGGGTCAGTTCCTGTTCTTCTTGTTTTTCTTTCACTTTTCTTCTTCTTCTGGAAAGGGATACAGGAGAGAAGGATATTCAGAAACTTTACCTCAAAGGCTGCCTTGGCGACAATCTTTTGTTGCTCTTCATCATCCGTGTAACATCCGAGTCCTAGGAGCGTGGCACTACCGGCGCGCTTCTCAAACATGACCTGGATATCTTCCAAGGGGGGTATGGGCCTCGTCTCGGAGAGGATCATGAGACGGGCGTTGGCGAGCGAGTGGTCGTCGATGGTGGGCAGCTTGCCGCCCTGACTGCCCTTGACCTGCATGCCCGGGACGGGGTAGAGGGCGGCGTCCTGGGCCATGAGCGCGACGGCCTCCTTGGCGATGAGGGCCGACGCCGGGTCGCGGATGGCATTGGCGTGCTCCGTCAGGGCCGTGATGTCCACCACTGATGGGCGAGGCAGTTCGCGCTGCATCACCTGCGTGCGCCGCCGGCGCTCTAGGGCCTCCTCGGCCTCGCGCCGCTCGCGCAGCCGCCTGTCTCGTTCTGCGGCGTCCTCCTCCGTCAGCTCCCGAGACCCTGTAGCCGCTTCGTCCTGCTCGTCTGGCACCTCAAACTCCCACTCTGTGTCCTTGGGCTTGGGCAGCGACGCCAGTCCCGACCGCAGCTGGCCCTTGATGCCCTTCTCGCGCATGCGGATGTCGCGCGGGGTGGCCGCTGCGTTGAACGAGCCGTCGTCATCGTTGAGGGCGTAGGCATCGCGCGGAGTCCGTAGGGGGGTCTGTCCCGGTCGTCCCGGGGTGGCCCCTACTCCGCCGTTGACACCCTGTCGCAGAGGTGTCGCCATCGGGTTCGGCGTCGAGATTTCGTGCCTGCGCGGCGTCGCTCCCTCGAAGCCCGTCGAGCCCTGGCCCTGGTGTAGCGGCGTGTTCTCCCCGCCGAGCAGGGCAGACTGTGTGTCGTTGAGCGCACGGATGTTGCGGATCTCGTTGGTGACGAAGTCGTCCTGCGGCGCGGCCCTGGGAGTGCGGATCGGGGCGCTGGAGTTGAGCGTCGAATACGAATTGACCAGACCCCGTGTTGCGTCGTTGTCGCTGGCGTTTGCCATGGTGTTGGCCGCCTCGCCCATCTTGCCCATCTTGATGATCTCGTCAAGCTCACCCTCGCCGACTTGGGGCGTGGGCAGATTCAGGGGACGACGCTTGCCAACGTGCTCGGCCTCGCGGAGCTTCTGCATCTGACCGGCCTTGATGGCGGCCTTTTGTGAGTCGGACAGTCCGTCCTTTTCGTTCTTGCGTCGCTTCCGGTCGCCGTCCTCGTCCCCGTCGCCCTTGCGCTTGCTGACGAGCTGCTGCTTGGCCGGGTCGTGCATTTTGCGCTGCCGCTCGTTGAGGACAACCTCCTCGGATGTGTCGTGAAAGCCGGGCATGGGCGCCCTCTCAAAGGGGATGTCGGCATTGTAGTCCATCTCGCCCTTCTTGCGGTTGGTAACCTTGATGTTGATGCCGGACGCCTTGAGCTCCCTCCTCTTCTGGAGGTTGGCCAGGCGGCGGGACTCCTCCTGCTGGCGCTCGCGGGCCTTGCGCTTCGCCTTCTTTCCCTGCGTGTTGGCCAGGCGGGCGCGGGCCTCGCTCAGCATCTCCTTCTCATCCTCGTCGAGGTCGATGGTGTCGGGGCGGGCAGGCTTCGTCTCGGGGTCGGGGTCGAGTTCTCCGGGGCGCAGTCGGCGCACGTCGTCGGCGCTGGGGGCCTGCGTCTCCCCTCCTTCGGGACCGGCCAGCCCCAGGTCAGAGGACTCACGGGCCTCGGCCTCGTCGAGCAGCCTCTGGTAGCGCTCGAGGCACTGGTTGGCGGTGCGGCCGATGATGGGGGCGATCGTGCGCCACTGGGTGGGCATAATCTTGGCGAGGTGCAGAAGCTTCTCATCCTCCTCCTTGCTCCATTCAATCTTCTTTATGCCGGGGTCTAGCCACTCGCTCCACCGGGCCTTGCACTGCTTGGGCGTCTTGCGCGCCAGCAGCGACGAGACGCGTGCCCACTGGTTGAGGCCATACTTGGACACGGAGGCCTTGAGGATCTCGTCCTCAATGTTGGTCCACACTCCTCCCTTGACGACCGGCATGGTGGCGGCTGCGTGGGTTTGATGAGACGAATATTGGGGTATCGAGGAGGACGGGTTGGTGTTGACGACGCGACCTGCAGCTTCAGAAAAATGATGATGGCGTCTCAAGGCTGTTTGTTAGGAGGCCAAGGGTGCAAGTTTTGCTGAGTCAGGCTTGCTAGAGTGCTGTGTTGTGATTGGCTACCCACTTACGGTACGCCAAAAGACAAGAACCTGCTCGTACGCTCCTTCTTTAGTAGTTATTAGTAGTACTCCGTCCTTTGTAACTTAGCAGACTACAAGATCTGTACCGGTGTACAGATTGCAGATGTACGGATTACCACTAATGTTGTGAAGGGAATCTGTCTATCCGTACTCCGTATCAGTGACCCGTCCATCTATGACTTGAGTCTCAGAACCACCAGAATGCATCAGCGTCGCTCTTGTCACTCGGTGATCGGAGTTCGGACTCTACTATGACCCGTCCCACTCTAAACGTGATTGTGTGCGACATGGAGGGACTATTACATAAGTACTTCCAGCATGACAGACAATAAGCGTGACGTGATGACACCCCTCACGATTGCCAGCAATATATATTACATGTACATGGACCATCGGTAGTAGCAATGAAGCAGAAGCATGCAAGGCCACGACACGCTAAGAATGACGAGATATATCGTATGACACCCAATGAGGCCTTTGGTTGCTATCGCTTGTTAGATAATAGATTCCTGTTGCCAGCTAGTTGTACTGGGGGGGGGGGGGGGGCTACCTGGACTGCACTATTAGATCACAGACTGCCTCACGGCGGCCCTGAAGCCTCTGAGTCTTCAAAGCAGGCCAGTGGGTCAGCGCAGCCAGCACAGCCAGCGCAGCCAGCGCGCAACCCAACGAGCGATGCAATGCGGCCAATTCATGCGACTTGCGAAGCGGATGATGACCTGGACCTTGCATGTAATGATATTACAGTAGTGTGTCCGAGAATACGTGTACGAGTACATATACGTCCGGAGATAGGAAAACTCCCACTATTATTATCTGCGGAAACCAAAACGGAAGGACATTTTGACTTTGATTGATAATACAATCTATTGCCATACCAGCCCTGATAGATAAATAATAGATAATACCTGCTACATTCGACCATGTCCTTTACGCTTTGCACTCCACCCAAACCCTCTTCTTCTCCTCCGTCGTGTCTCCGACTCCGCTCCGCATGCACATACCCAGTTTGACTGAGGGAGAGACATGGAGCACGGCAAAAGACGCTGCATCACGACATTGACAACCCTTCCCTTGCCCGGGATATAGCTATCGCAACCAACCTCGGATTCGAACCGGACCACAGCGCCGCGATAGAAGCGGTAACCCGACGAGACGCGAATCATTCGCCGTATCATATATCTAACCCCCCCCCCCCCCCCCCCCCTTCCCCCCGTCTCGCAATGGCCACTGCCAACGGGCGAGATGGCAGGGATGCGCGGGATCAAGCCGCCGAGGAGACCACGGCCCTTCTGAACCCCCGCGACGGCGAAGAGCAAGATGCTGTCAACAGTGACGGGGACATGAACGGTGCAGACGACTACACGTGGGATGGATACAAGGATTATGAGGGTCTTTCTCGGTGGCGCACGCCATCAGTAAGTTGCGACACCCATCAAGCAAGAGAAGAGGAAGTAGGAGCGGTTCGACCAACGATCTATCTAACGCTCGGACGCATCGCAGGTCTTCTGGCTTCTGGGGCCATTCATCGTCTTCACGCTGGCCTTTGGAGGTGTCATGGTGCCCAAGCTCAATCTGTAAGGGAAAACATTGATGACTGCTACCACTATACCTCGCATCACCTGCCGTCGCTCTAACACGGACTCTCAAGGATCGTCACCCTGGTCTGCAAGCAGTACCTTTCCGACAGACACAGCGCGGACCCAAGCCAGCCGTTTGTGCCGGTGTTCGTGGGCGGGGACAACCCGCAGTGCAACATCCCCGAGGTGCAGAGCCGGGTGTCGACCTTCAACCTGGTGGCCGCCTTCACGTCGGGCCTGCTGAGCTCGCTGGTGGTGCCGCGGCTGGGCCGGCTATCGGACCGGTACGGGCGCACCAAGCTGATGGCGTTCGCCTCTGTGGGCGGCGTGCTGAGCGAGATCCTGACGGTGGTGGTGGCCAACTTCCCCGACGCCCTCGACTACCGATGGCTGCTCCTGGGCAGCTTCTTTGACGGCGCGACGGGCTCCTTCATCGGCGGCAGCCTGCTGACGCAGTCGTACACGACCGACTGCACCCCGCCGTCGAAGCGCGCCGTCTACATCGGCTACACGCACGCGTGCCTGGCGACAGGCCTGGCCCTTGGCCCCCTGCTGGCGGCCTACTTCATCAAGTGGACAGGCAGCCTGCTGTCCATCTTCTACGTCGTCGTGGCATGCCACCTGCTGTACATCCTGACCCTGGCCTTTGTCGTGCCCGAGTCGCTGGTGGCCAAGAAGCGCGAGGCCGCGCGGAGGCGCCACGCCAAGGACCAGCGCGACAAGGACCGGCATATGGGCACCTGGCTCGCGCGCGTCCAAAAGGTCAACCCGCTCGAGCCCCTGGCCATACTGTGGCCCACGGGCCCGGGGACCAGCTCCCGCCTGCGCATCAACCTCGTCAGCCTCACCGTCGTCGACACCATCCTCGTCGGCGTCGGCATCGCCTCGGGACCCATCATCATCCTCTACAGCGAGTACATGTTCGACTGGGGCAACCTCGAGAGCTCCCAGTTCGTCTCCACCTTCGCCTTCCTCCGCGCCTTCATCCTGCTCGGCCTCTTCCCTCTCATCAACCACCTGGCCAGGACGCTGCCTGCCAAGCGCCGCGCCGCGGCCGCCGACGTCCCCGTCGCCAGCCTCCTCAGGGAGAAGAACTCGGGCGCCGACCCCGTCGACATCTGGGTCCTCCGCTTCGCCCTGTCCACCGAGGTCATCGGCGCCGTCGGCTTCATGCTCGCCCGCACCGGGCGCGCCTTCTTCATCAGCGGCCTCATCACCGCCCTCAGCGGCCTGGGCAGCGCCACCATCCAGGCCACCGTCACCAAGCATGTACCCCAGCGCCTCGTCGGCCAGGTCCTCGGCGCCATCGGTATGCTGCACGCTCTCACCAGGGTCATCGGCCCTGTCATATTCAATGGCATCTACGCTGCTACCGTCGGCATCCTGCCTCAGGCATTCTTCTTCATTCTCGTTGGCATCTTCCTCGTCGCCTTCCTCATCACCTTGACTCTTAGACCTGGAGGTTAGCATACCCCTATCCTTTTTGTTATCTCCTGTGAATTATGCTGACAATCAGATCGTGCAGTTGTCTGGGAACAGACCGGTGATGAAGATGAGACGGAACCGCTCAACCCGAGCGAAGATGCTCGCACAGACAGACTTCGCAATGCTGTGGCTATTGATGAGGACCAGGGCATGATCATCTAATCATTTTCTTGTTCTTTTTTTTTAAAAAAAAATTCCTTTTACTCTGCTGCCTTTTTTTTTTTGCTTCTTCTTTTTTTCCCCCTTATACGAGTAAAACCCCGGTCCTCTATACGAAAGGACGTTTGAGAGCAAATGTTGGGGGATGACATATTATAGCACTATCTTTACGATTTGGTCAATATCCGGCAGATGGATTTATCTTAAACAATAGAATCAACTTCACTCTGTCTTCTGAGTAGCTTTGTTCTTCTCACTCGGTGAGGGCTTGGGCAATTCTAGCGAGTTTTCCAGAAAATGCCGTAGGGAGAAGTCCACCAGGTTCTGCGATAGAACCAAATCAAGAAGGCTACTTGTAGCTTCAGCGGCGAGGCCCCAGGTCGGTAGTAGGATCATGGTACCAAAATACTGCATAGTGATAACTATCAAGTATTATTCATACGGAGTAGAGACTTTAATAAAGCAGCACCTTGGAGTTCTTGGCTGACGCGCGATTTTTGTGGGGCCCCCCCCCCCGATGGCCCAACCTCGTCCGGCTTGACTGGACTCTTTTCCATCTCGCGTGCCGACTTTGGGCGTGAATTCATAGCCACTGGCCGTCAGAAAAAGGACGCACAAGAAGAGGACTGGTAAATCATCGATATCTCTCTCCAGATAGAAGAGGCCAAAGCCATCCATACCATGCTAGTGACACCCACTATAGCAACCGTCCGTCAGCTCAGCAACAGGCGTGTCGTCGCTCCGAAAGCAGCAGCAGCAGCAGCAGCCATGTCTACCGGTATTACGACCAGAATCGGGGGTGGACCCGTACACTTTGGCAACTTTGATGTGACCAAGCAGGTAGGTTTCCAACCCCCCTACTTCCTCAGGACGAGGGTGTCGTCGTAACTAGGCATCGTTCCATGCTGGGCCCAACTGACTCGATCGTCTCGCACCACCATCTACCGTGCCAGGTCTTTCTCAAGACGGAGCACTCATTCGCCCTGGTGAATCTCAAGCCCCTGATAGCCGGGCACGTCCTCGTGTGTCCGGTGCGGCGACGGCTGAGGCTGACGGACCTGACACCCGCCGAGACGGCCGATCTCTTCTCGACGGTGCAGGTAGCCCAGAGACTGCTGGCACGCGAGTACCTTGCAAAGGGTGCGGCCCAAGGGACAAGGAGCGGAGCAAGTGGTGATGGTGTGGACGAGGCAGAGGCCCTTATGGCTGGGAGCTTCACGGTGGCGGTGCAGGACGGTCCCGAAGCCGGACAGACTGTGCCTCACGTGCACGTTCACGTCATCCCGAGGACGAGGGGGGATCTACCGCGACCGGACGACATCTACGTCTCCCTGGCGGGGGAGAAGGGCAATGTGGGCGGCGCGCTGTGGGACAGGGAACGTCCCGCGCCGGGAGGGGGTATGCCTAGGGTCGAGGATGAGGATAGGAAGGCCAGGACGGCCGAGGATATGGAAAGTGAGGCGGAGAGGTACAAGGTTGTGCTGGGGGAGATGGGTATTGACTAGGGTGGTGGTCCCTTGTGTTTCCCGGCTTTCTCTCTCTCTCTCTCTTTTTTTTTGTTTCCCTTCATGGTGGCACATAGATAGATAATAATCCGGACGTGTAGTGAAGAGAGAGGATGACGTGCTGAGGCTAGTATTATAGAGTTGGATTTCATCCTGAGATAAGAACACGAGTCGAGGGCGTCAGGATTAACGATGCAGAGTACACGAAGCGCGTAGAAAGTAGAACAGTAGTATATATTGAACGGCAGAGTCGAAAAGAAAAAGAGACACCCCGCTTAGTTTGTCGGCTGGGCATGCACGTCCTACATAGAAGGTACGGGCATTGTCTAGATCATGATGATGGGTGTTTCTTATGGAGAAGGAGGAGGGAGGAGGAAGGGGGGGGGGAGGATCTGGAGGGGAAAATAAGCTGGGGTGTGTGTATGGGGATGGAGGGTGTGTGTCGAACAGATAATAGATAAAGACGTTGGACAGAGCATTTGCTCCATACACATACGACTACGTCCAATAATTATACTGTATTACTGTATCGCAATGAGCAGGAAAAGAGGGTGTATGATTATCGAGTAGAGTATTAGCTCTTCACATGTATGCGGGAGCTAGTGCAGACCCCTTGCTAGCGTTGTGAGAACGTACAATACTCGATACATGCATGTGGGTAGACAGACTGTTACCCACATGCAATTTTTTTTTCTCTCTTCTTCTTTCTACTTCATCTTCCTAGTGTCCGCTGCTCCGTGGACCACCGGTGGGGGGGACGTGCGTGATCAACGTACATTGCAGTTACGGGGAGGGCTCCTACGTATATTCGGGTCATCGGACGACTGGGTCCAAGTCGGGACGTCGCCGTGATTCTAGGTGATTCCGTGGCATGGTGAAAGCGAACTGATCAACCGACAAAGAAAAAGAGAAGGGAAGTGGAAAGAAGAGAAGAGAAGAGTGACGGTGTGGGAATTCCTCGCGACTGTTGATGATGTACGGAGTAACGTGTGAAATCTTACGAGTTTATCAAAGAGTGGCTGCGGCAGTCGTGTGTCTTCTAAAGCGTGTATATGTATGTATGTATGTATATATATGTGTGTGTGTGTGTGTGTGTGTGTGTGTGTGTGTGTGTGTGATATATATATATATATGTGTGTGTGTGTGTGTGTGTGTGTGTGTGTGTGTGTGTGTGGTGAGGAGAGGGCGGGGAAGAGGTCAAGGCCAAGGGCTAGAGAGACAGCAAGACAGCATGGGAAAAGCCGGGAGCCAAGTATTGACAGCAATCATCCTACGAGTACGGAGTAAGCGCTTCTACTTCTATTACCCGTCATTGAAACCCGTAAAAGCGACAAAAGTACTAGGGTTGCTTTGCCTAGACTTTGGTGAGGGGGCTGAGCAAACTGGGAAGTGCAATGGCAAGCTCTGCGTCAAAAGAAAAAAAAAACCCCGTTTGTTGTATGTGGATAAGGCTGAGCTGTTCAGGAGAGACGGTCTACATTTCCTACAACGTGCGTACCGAGTATGATTCTGTACGTACGTATCGAGTAGCAGTAGCATAGATAGTAATAGCAACAGTAGCAGTAGTAGTAGCAGTAGTAGTAGCAGTAGTAGTAGCAGTAGTAGTAGCGCGGACCTCGCCCCCGACGTCGGCGGTTCGTCGCCCCCCTCCCCCCACCTCCGGGAAATGAAGAGTAAGCCACCGACCGGATTACGGGACTGAGGAGGGGTGGTGAGGGGCAGACCGGGGAGGGGGGAGGAGGGGTGATGGAAAATTAGAGGGGACCGATTCATCTGCCAAAATGCGATCTGGATTTTGTTTGCATTACAAGAAAGAGAGAGAGAGAGAGAGAGAGAAAGGTATACAGTGAGTACTCATACGCGCTCATACTATATAACACTTGATGAACCTGCACCTACCCAATTCACAACATGACCGCCAAGGAAACAGTAGTGGGCATGGAGAGGACAGCTATGTGATTTGCCATTAAAGTGCGACGGTGTAGCAGGTCTATGCCAACAAGGTCACGAGGTCAATGTATCAAAACAATACGCGTCTACGAGCAGACGCCGATACTGAATGCCGGTTGGCGACAAGTTTGTCTACCGCGATGCTTGTGACGGCCGCTAACTCTCTTTTTCATCCAGAGATTCTAATCTGAGAATCAGTACAAAACTCGGTATAATCTTGTTTATCCTTCATATCTTGAATCTTCTCCTATCTCTGACCATTCCAAGCTGCTCTGCTCGGCTGCGCGTCCTTGCACTTGGAGTCGGAGTCGGTGGATCTAGAACGCCGGCGCAAACCCTTTTTTTTCTTCAGTGACTTATTACTGCCCAATCAGCTACGATGGAACCCTGCGCTATGCATCTATCCCCTATAGTGGTAGCGTATATGCAGAGCGCGGACCATCTCTTTTTCATTGTAATACTCGGTAGTGGTGGTATTATTTCCTTTTTTTCTTTTTCTTTCTTTTCATCAGATACATCGTCCTTGTCCTCTTGATGCCGGGACGTTGAACTGTCATTACGCTGCGGTAGCTGATAGGAGGAGGTGATGGGGTTGCGGGTAATTGGGTGGTCCACCGTTATTCTGGAGGGTCAATGGTTTGTGGGAGGGGTGGAGGTGTGCAGGCTCTCTCCCTCCCTCTCACTCACCCACTCACGCTCTCTCTCTCCCATGCCCGCCTCTCTCCCATCTCTTCTACTCTACCTCTCTCACACATTCCGTCGCTGCAATTGATGCAATTGATGACATGGCATCCATCACACACCGTACAACGCACGCGTAGGCAAATTCGCCAGACCATCAGAGAGCTGCCCTGTTCTTCTCCGGATGCATGGATGCAGAGGCCGAAACCTGCTCTCCCTCATCCGCCTACGTCCATATGCTCCGTGCCGATGACATGCCTCCAATCCACACTCTACTTCGTGCGACCACTGGCCTTCCGCCATTCCCTGCTGTACAGCCTCTCCGGCACCCATCCCATCCATCGGTTCGGGTGCTGTGGTGTTATTGCTTCACCTGCATTGCAGCACTCGCGCGGTGTGCCGCTCCTGGACAGGCCATCGGTGCCTCTTGCTTTACCCTCCTCCAAGACGTAGATTGAACGAAAGACGTTGTCGTTCTCGATACTGTATACTACGGTCTCGTATGAGACACATGATGCACAGCGCACCGTTCTCGGTTCCTTTTCTTCTTCCTCCCTCTCCCTCTGATCAGTCCGATCGTGTTGCCGGATGGATGGACAATCGTTCGTCGCCAGAATCTTGTCGGTGTCGCGTGTCCAGTGTCTTGGCCGCACCGTCCACAAGCAAGAACCGGATACGGCCATGGCCCGATTACTGCTTTTGGCCACTGTCTCGCAGCTCGGCCCCCACCAGCTTCCTCCAGCCGTATCACGGTACAGCGCTGTACAGGTTCTTTTACGGCGCTGCGCCTGTGTACTCGTGCGCCGGGTGCATTTATGCATCTAGGCCGAATGTCTCTCGTTATCGATGCATCCATCCAGAATCTTAGACTCGTCCAGCGCCACATCCACATGCACCAGACATGCACAAATGCACATACCTACCCCCACCATCCTGCAATCGAAACATACACCCCTCCCCGGTTGCGCGGGACGCTTGGTCGGTCGCTCGCCTGGTCGCTCGCCTGGTCGCTCGCCTGGTCGCTCTTGCCCCCCGGAACCGCCGTCGACATCGAGAATAGAAATAACCTCTACGCCCTCCGAGGCCCTCTTGCATCCCTCCCCTCCTCCTCCCCTCCTCCTCTTCCTCCTCCTCCCACCTTTCTCTTTTTCTACTTCTTTCTCGTAGCTCAAACACCCTTGGCCGTATCGACGCCATTCTTATTATACTCTCTCCGACATTGTATCGTATTATTACTTGCCTCTTTCCTTTCCTGCATGCGCCTTGTAACCATCCATCCATCGTCGCCTGTCATATTCTCGCCACTACCGGATTCTTTCTTGTCCCTCCCTACCTCACAGACCCATACCTTTCTCTCTTCTCTCGTCAGCAGCTCATCTCCTGGTTCTGCTCTTTCCAAAATCACGAGTAATACTGATACAGGGCCATGTCTATCACCAGACAGACGCGCTCTCGCAACCCTGACGATTTCCCAACTCTTCAGCTGTTCCTCCTCGGTAAGAGACCACCACCCTGCCCCGCGCTCCGAGCCCGGCAATGTTCCTCGAAGCTGACATCTTGCTTCCCCCTTCAGCCATTGTCCGACTGGCCGAGCCCATTGCCCTCACCTCCATCTTCCCTTATGCCTGGGCTCTTGTAAAGAGATTCGAAGTCGGCAATGAGGAGGATGCCTCCTTCTACGCCGGCCTTCTCATCTCGTCATTCTCGCTCGCCGAGGCTGCCATGGGCATGTTCTGGGGAGGCTTCTCCGACCGAGTTGGCCGCAAGCCTGTCCTGATGCTGGGTTGTGCCGGAACCATGCTCAGCATGATCATGGTGGGCTTCTCCTCCAACATCTGGGTTGCTCTGATCGGGAGAGCCGCCGGTGGTCTCCTGAATGGAAACATTGGCGTTATTCAGACCATGGTTGGCGAGCTCGTCAGCAGACCTGAACATGAACGTGAGTATGCAGCCACCGTCCGTGACTTCTGAATTGCTGTCTGCTAACGCAATGCCTCGTCGTAGCCCGTGCCTATGCCGTCATGCCCTTTGTCTGGAGCGTCGGCACCATCATCGGTCCCTGCATCGGCGGCACCTTTGCTGACCCTTTCACTTCCTGGCCCACCCTCTTCCCCAAGGGTAGTCTGTTTGAGCGTTTCCCCTACCTTCTCCCCAACCTCCTGTGTGCCATCCTCTTGGCTGCCAGCATTGTCCTGGGCTTCTTCCTCCTCGAGGAGACGCACCCTGATATGGTCCCCCGGGCTCTGATGCCCGCAGACACGTACGTGTCTGAGGAGACGCCGCTGATTGAGACTTCAGACGCTATCAAGAGGCCTACCGTGGACCTGCGTGCCGAGACGTACGGTACCATTGCCATCGACCAGGATCCGGACGATTCCATCTCCCGCGAAGAGAAAGCTGCGCCTCCGAGCATCTGGAACAGGCGAGTAGTCAGCATCATCATCGCCCTTTGCATCTTCACCTACCACTCCATGTCGTACGACCACCTGATGCCCATCTTCTTCGAGGACGAGCGTGCACTCTCCGGAAACAGCGTCAATCTGGGCAAGGCCCCCCCCTTCTACTCGCCCGGAGGCCTCGGCCTCAGCATTCGGTCCGTCGGCATGATCATGGCGGTCAACGGTGTCATCGCCCTGTTCGTTCAAGCCGTCATCTTCCCGGTGGCGGCCGAACGGATTGGTGTGTACAAGCTTTTCATCCTCAGCACGGTGTTGCATCCCATTGCCTACGTCCTTGTCCCCATGCTCCTTGTCGTCTCAAGATCCTACATCTACCCGGCCATTTACGCGTGCCTGGCGGTGCGCAACCTCCTCTCCATCACCCTCTACCCCCTCCTCCTCATCCTCCTCAAGAATGCCACCCCTTGCCCCAGTGCCCTGGGCACAATCAACGGCCTCGCGGCCAGCGCAGGTGCCGCCTGCCGAATGGTGGCACCTCCCGTGGCCGGCTACCTCTACACCTTTGGCAGCAGGATGGATTGCACAGCCCTGGCTTGGTACGGCAGTGCTCTTGTCGCTGTTGTCGGCTCGTTCCAGTGCTTCTCGGTTCCCCGCGAGCACAACCCTGCCGAGAAGTCTGAGGAGGGAATCTCTCCCAAGTTCGAGCAGCGTCCCTCTGTCTGTGTCACTGAAGTCTCAGCGACCAACGAGGCTCAGGAAGACTGACAGAAGTACACTCACCTGCCACTCTTGTCTGTCATTCTAGTCTCGTGGACATCTCTCATGTCTGAATCCTGTCTCTTTTTTTAAATTTTCTCTCTACTTTTTGCATCCTCCTGTTCTGTGCACTCTACACTCGTGTCTAGAACCTGACGACTCCCAGGATTCGCCCTAGACACGTTGACCATGTTCGCACTATCCCCTGGTAAACAATCACGAGACCGATTCTGTCGACACGGGCTTGGAGCTTGGAGATGGTCATCTTCTGATCGATTCAGCGGGTTTGTATTTCTGTCATCATGCGTTTTGCTATGCTCTTTTCGATCTTGAGGGTATTTTCCTCGGGCTGTTGGGCAGTAACGTTAGCATTGGCGTTTCTAACGGTGTTTTTTTGTCTTGTTTTCTCATCGCCACCGTCGTCGGGTAACTACGGAGTTTAAAAATATTGGATAGAGTAAATGATGGTTATAACGAGGGCAGTGAAGAAATTAATTAATATCATAAGAATCTGTGTGCCTGCATCGCAGTGTTGAGTAATAAGTTACCTGCTACTCACAATGAGTGGATGACGTTGATAGCTGCTAATATGCCAATATGAGTTAAAGCGACTAAGAAGGTAAACAAAATGTCCAATGAGAGAAAGTCTTGCGCCTGTGGAACGCTGGAGAAGGAACGGGAATTTTTCCACAACATACGCACATGACAACGCCAACGCCTGTTGAAGAGCAACAAAAGAACTGCGCAACTGGCGATAGTTCGTCAAAGAGATAAGAAGAAGGAGGGGATTTTCTCTAGAGGTCAAGACACCAAAGAAAAGGAGAAGAAAAGAGAGAAAGGGAGAAAGAAAGAAAGAAAGAAACAAGCTCAAGCTTATCATCATGGCCGGTTTTGCGCCACCGTCCAGCGGCGAGCCAGTGCCGAGCGTGGAGGAGCTCACGGAGCAAATGGTACGAGCGATGGAGGCCAAGGAAGCCGAAGATGCGGCGGCGGCGGCGGCGGCGGCGGGACAGCAGGTAGGCACCGAGGGCAGCAGCAGCGCGACGAAGCCGCTGCTGCCGCCGACGCACCGCCTGGCGTCGAACATGACGGTGGACGAGGTGCTGGCGGACCTGAACAAGTCGCCGCTGTTCATGACGGAGCTGGAGGAGAACGACGACATCGCGGCGCTGCAGGCGCTCAACTACGAGGGCACGGCTCTGGAGAACGCGAGCGACTTCCGCACGCGGGGCAACGAGTCGTTCCGGGGCAGGCACTACCGCGACGCGCGGGAGTTCTACACCAAGGGCGTGCAGATCCTGGCGGAGCAGGAGGCCAGGCGGGCGCGCGGGGAGGCGACGACGAGCCCGGAGGGCGTGGAAGACAGCGAGGAGGAGGTGGCGGAGCAGCGAAAGGTGCTGGAGGGCCTGTACGCCAACCGCGCGGCTTGCAGCCTCGAGCTGCTCAACTACCGGTCCTGCTGGCTGGACTGCGCGGCGGCGCTGCGGCTCAACCCGGCCAACGTCAAGGCCTACTACCGCAGCTCGCGGGCCCTGCTGGCCGTGGGCCGCATCGAGGAGGCCGACGACGCCTGCGCGCGCGGGCTGGCCCTCGATGCCGACAACAAGCCCCTGCGCGCCGTGGCGGACGAGATCGTCAAGAGGGCCCGCGCGCGCGACGAGAAGCGCAGGAAGGACGCCGAGCGCGACGCCACGCAGCGCAGGCGCGCCACGCTCCTCAGGGCCGCCCTCAAGGCCAGGGGCATCCCGTCGCGCAGGTCCGACAAGCCGCCCGACATGGAGGACGCCGCCGTCGCCCTCGTGCCGGACCCGGACGATCCCCGCAGCAGGCTCTCCTTCCCCACACTGCTGCTGTACCCCGTCCACTACGAGTCGGACTTCATAAAGGCCTTTGAGGAGACGCATACCCTCGACGACCACCTAGGCTACATCCTGCCCCTGCCGTGGGATGACAAGGGCGTCTACAGGCCCGACAATGTCGAGGCCTACGTCGAGACCCGCGATGGCGGCCTGCTCAAGATGGGTAGGCGGGTGTCGTTGCTGAAGGTGCTCAGCACGGGTAAGGTTGAGGTCGTGGATGACGTTGTGCGCATATTCGTCTTGCCAAAGGGTGATGCCGCCCAGGGATGGATCAAGAAGTTTAAGGAGCAGAAGGCTGCTATGATAAAAAAGTAATATAAAAAATAAAATAAAAATAGATCGGAAAAAGAAAAAAGGAGAGAGGACAGGCGGGGGCTTATAAAAAAAAGATAATTTGAGACCCAAGCAAAAAAGAAAAAGAGGGTTTCTGAATAATGATATATACGAAATGTTCTAAAAGGAATGTGAATGAAAACGAACAGACATGTCGCTTGGTAAATGACTGCAACGACAGAGGGAGAGACGAGAAGAATGCTTCCCGTCCAACCTGCTCAGACGGACTGGGGTTGATCCTTGCCCTCTGCACTGGATCCTCTCTCACGAGGCATATCCATGAGGATACACGCCACCTCGAGATCCTTGGGACTTCTGCTCCTCCGGCCATCTTCACTCCGCCGTTGTCCAGACATACTCTCTGGCTGTCCTGCAACATCACCACTGTGCGAGGGACCATGACCACTGCCCATGTCTTCCGAATAGACCCTCTGAGGATGATGAGGCGGTGGCCCGCCCTGTTGCTGCTGCGCCCTTGGCAGATGCAGTTTCGGTCGCTTGGGTGCGTGGTCTGCTTCATCATACCAGCGGCGCTTGGGGGAGTTATCAATATTTTGGTTGCTGCTACCTTGTCCGACAGCGACGACAATGGGGGCCGGGACGGGTGGCCTGGGTGTGCTCGGTCGAGGGACGGCGCTGAGCCACGGGCTGGCAGGGGGGAAAGAGTCGTGCCGGGGAGGATTGATGGGGGCCCACCCTATCACACGGCCGTGAGGGGGGGCAAGAGGGCCGGTGGGAGGGACGAGGCTCTCGTTGATGGGATGCCACCTGGATAGTGCAATGGCATGGTTATGCTGTTGCTGTTGATGATGTCTGTCAAGCAAATGGTGGTGAGAATAAGGATTGTTTCGGTTGCTTCTGTCAGCTCGTTCGGCAGAGTAATCCTCCAGACGCTCCTTCATGGATGTGCTGTACTGGTCGTGAAATGGTGGTGGTAGCTGTGGTCGGATAAGAATGGGGTTGCTTGTGATGCCAGATGAAGACGACGACGACGACGCCGCCGCCGCTACTGCCGGCCTGGTCATGCTATTTAAGCTGGAGTACTTGTACGCCTTAACATCGAGCTTGGCCTTCTGGATGATGGCCTCGTCAATCTCCATACACCCATAGCGAGGAGATTCGGGCTTGATGCAGTCTCTAGGGAAATCGGGGCCGAAGATTGGTATCAGGGCTCCGGCGATGGGATGGCAAAAGGCTGCACAGACGGCTCTGGCGCAGGCGTATGGAGTCCAGTAGCCTTTTGTGGTGGTGGTGGGGGGGATGGAAGTAAATGTCAGTCAAATGCAAAGGACTTATTTGAGTCGTAAACTTGGTTTTGATAAAAGGGCATACCTTGGGCAACCCGGTTGCCTCCCGTCATGTGAAATGTTACATCTCGTAGCCCCTTGTTGACATCCAACATCTTGGCCGGTCCAGTCTGTTCAAGATTACACCTGTTAGAATGATGATCCCAGGCATTAGATGCTCACACAGATATGTTTGCTTTGGTTGACGGAGAGGGGAAAAGAAACCTTTTTGTGTTCCCGACTCTTGAAGAAGGGACTTATGCGGACAAATCCACCAAGATAGTCCCACATGACATCGTACGTCTTTGCATCACTTGGGTTTGTAAACTTATAGACAAACACTTGACAGAGGAAAACATCAGCTTCTGTTCTCCCTTTTCAGTTCTTTCCCCCCTTTTGTTTTCTCTTCTGTGGTTACTTGGCAGGTAACAGTAGAACCTACCGTTGAAGCTCTCGCGTCCAGTCTTGCTGTAAACATCTTTCTTGTCGCTGCTGTAAGGGACGTGCGCACAGAACTGAGCAATCTCGCCAAAGGGTACGATTTCAAATGGCCTCATGAGCTCGTGTGCTGCTTCGTCCAAGTCCTCGTAGGGGGCGTACTTGATGGGGCCCGGCGGCCTCATGTACGACAGGTCACTGGAGTCGCGACCCTTCTTGACCCTCCTGCTGATGTTGCGTACATCGATATAATCCCTCGATATGAGGTTGAAGGTACCCGAGCCCGTGCCTTTCCTTGTCCCTACGCCAGTGTCATCGGATATTGGGGACGGCGATTCCGATGCTAAAGGCTGAGATGCCCGACTGTCTACTCGTGACGGATGGCTGTATGGCTGATTGAGTATGGCCTGTATCGGGAGCATACTCCTTCCCTCTCCCATGGTTTCTTCTGTCCTAGAAGATCTCCCTGAGAGGAATAGAAAGGGAAACGAAGGAATAGAATATGTTTTCAGGGAACTTGTTCTCGGCTTGCCGAAGAGAGAAAAACAAAACAGCTAATAAAGAGTGAGTAAGATGGAGGACGAAGGGACGGATACCTCTCTGTGTTATATGAAATGTCAGGTTATGCAACAAATGAACGGAAAAGCCTGGGGGGGGGGGGCAAACATGTAAGGGATAGACGGCCAGTCTCGCACACATAAATGAGGTGAGATGGTGCTCAGAACAGGCACAGGAGGCCGTTTGATATCACTGATGCGTTCCAGGTTAAACACCCTTCACCGTGCCCTGATGTATGGGTCGTGGACAGATGGCTCTCTCGTCTGGCATACCGGAATGACTCTTGTTTACCGTGAAGCCTCAAAGCGACAGCACAGGTTCCTCGGCGTATCCGAACGGGCCAGAAATAGAGTCGCTCGGGGAGAGGCAAAGAGAGAAGGCGCAAGCTTCAGACTCAGCTTTCATCGTATGCTGGAGATCTTGTTGTGACAAACCTGCCAGGGAAGTATTGGCCATGGACATCCGTTCCTTGTCTTGATTTATACCCATCTGTTGAAAAAAGAAGTGATCCCGGTCATGTACACGGGAGCGTACCTCTGGTCACTTGTGAGGTTCTAGCCTGAGGGGCAGGGGCTCGCAGGTGAGTGTTTTTCCAACGCTGGGCCGATGCTTGGTAGTCGTCTACTGATGATATTTGGAAACACTGGGTTGGACGGGAGCAGCCATCCCAATCAGTCCAGGTGAATCGGGGTGCGCAACAGCTGTCCAGTAACTCCATGTTCTTGGTCGCTCAAGAACACGCCGAGATTAGACATGACGCACGGAAAACGAGAAGATGGAGTCACGAACATTATCCACTCACAGAAGGCATGTGTTTAGCAAAAGTTACACGCCATTGATGTTTCACAGAACCAGACAAGGTCATCATTACACAAGACCCTGATACCGTCGCTCTTGTGTCACAGGCAGACGATGTCGTCGTAGGCAGTGTTACAGTCCCCTTTGGGGTTGTCGATATGACAAGAGCCTTGTTGACTCGTATAGCCCGGTATGATGGTGCGGCAAATACGACCACAGTATGTATGCTTCTCCAAGTTTGACGGACAAAAAGAGGAAGGCATCAAGTCTCTCCTTTATCCACAGAGACATTGTCTATATGTATCCGACATGAATGGTCCTTGCTGCCCACAATGTCGGAAGCGACATAGAGCTTACCTGTGGCAGAGTACCCGTCAGCCAGTTATCAATCTCGGAAAGTAAATCGAGTGCTTCACCATGCCAATGCCCCCCATGTCCATCTCTCTGGTGGGGTCTGCAGACAACTTGCGTATGTGTCCCTTGTCGTGCAAACAGCATCCGGCAGGGGTAACCGGCTCTCTGTTGTACGAGAGTCAAAGTCATTTAAACAAAGAATATAAAAGCTCCGAAGAAGCACAGCATGGAGTATCGTCGTCTGGGTAGTGATGCTGCAAAGACTTTTCCAGCACAAAAGGAGTAATGTGAATGTCTCGTTACCCGATCAGGTCCAACGACGCTATAGGGAAGGTCGAGATAAGGTGTGTAGAGGGAGTGGCATTGGCGAGAATATGCAGGTTCCCGAAACCCTGGTCCGACCGGCGTCAAAAATGCAGACTGCTGCTTTGTTTCACGTTATATCCCGGGGCAGCTATCAGTTACATGGTTAGTAGATGACAATGGGCCGTCAGCCACTGCTGGCTCTTATAAGTCACATCAGATATGTGTATCTCCATGAGCAATACGTCCCCCCTCACCCGATACCCCTGCCCAAGTACTGACGCCTCGACTTCGCCCCCTCATCATTCTTCCTTGGCTCGCTTCGTTTTGGACAGTTTCTCGGGTCGATGCCAGCGACCATGGGCGAGTTGTTGTATATGGTCTCTTTTGGAGACGGCGTAGTGTCCGAGCAGTAGCAGATCCTAACGCGGCATGACTTTGGCCGTGTGAAACTCGGGAAGTATGTCTTTCTTCGTTCGTATAAAGGCAGGCTGTGAAAGGTCGAGGAGTGTCAGTCCATGTTTGCTCTGGAGCATTGCCCCACGTCTGTCTTACCTGGAAGCCGGAGATTGTTTATTGGAGTGTTTGCTTCAGATCACATTGCCCTAACAGCTCGCATCTTTCAGTACGATGCGGGATACACACCAAATGACTGGACGGTTCTATCAAGCTAAATAGAGGAAGTTCATGTCAGTAATATACGTCGCACGGGTTGTCGAGCATAGCTAGTGCATTTGCCGTGGACTCGGCGTGAGAATTGGTGGCAGGCATTAGTTAATATGGAGGAGAGTTTAAGTTGTGTGATCTTGATCCGGTTGGGAAGAGCGTCAAGTGTAATATTGTTCAGGTGAAGATTGTTGATGGATTCACCAGCACCTACCTCATACCTTTATAATATACATACACGGTATAGCTGAATTTCTATTCAGCTATACGGTACTTCTGACGCTTATATAGAAACAGAAGTAGAGGAGGGAAAGAAACTTCTCGTATGTTAGGAGGAAAGAGCGTCCTGCTCATGTTCATGCTGTCAGAAGTAGCAATCTCCATTATGCTTCCTGTTAGCGGCCACACACGATGACCCGTAAGCGTGAATATAGCGGTCTCTGCCTACTGAAATCCTTAGGATTGATGAGTCTGTATCTGATTGCTTTTTTTCCGAAAGGAAAGAAATCTATCTATAAAGCTATTCATAGACGTGTGTGGTAGCAGCCTCTAGCTGCTTAGTTATATAATCTTGAGGTGCCGCACTATACCATGGGGTGTGCCGGGTAAGAGGATATATATTCTGAGTGAGTGGTCGGTAGAGTCGGTATCTAATCAGCACGTGATTCGATTTAGCGGAGCGTCGCAGAACGCGTCACTGGGTGCACAAACACGGACCCCCCACACACAATGCAGGGCGCGTTTTTCCTTGTTTACACAAGGTGGCTCTGGCTGGCACAACAACAGATATCAACATTGGAAGTTGGGCCTACCCTTTATCGGTCCAACGTACTTCTTCCTCTTTCTTTCCATCTTGCGTCCAAACTCGCTCGCCAGTTTGTGTCTACTCTTCAGTGTGGCACACCTTGTATACCGCCGTTTGTTTTCGCGATTCTGCGCGCCGGTCTCCCCTATTGCCCAACTGGGCAGCCCTCCTGGCTTATCGCCAACTCCATGTTCGATCGTCACTCGTTTGAGTCCCCTGTTTACGACTAGACGACTGTCGACCAGTTACCCAAAATATCGCTCGGTCAAGCCCTCCAAGATGAGTGACGACAATGACCTAAGCATGGGCGACGAGTCCGACGTCTATGTCCCCGAGACTGTCAGTGCATCCCTATCCCTTGGTGACGGAGGCCTGAGAAGATACAGCCGCGCGTGTCTTTGCGCATCGTGGGGAGCAGAACTGCTCTGACATCGCCTTGTGCGCGATCACCATCGAAATACCACAAACTCACAAACTCACCGCAAGAGGCAAAAAAACAAAGGAAGAAGCCTGTGCTAACATCATCTTGGATCATAGAAGAAACCAAAGGCCCGCCCGAAAAAGGCGGCCGCTAGCAAGCCGGCCAAGAAGATGGTCCAGTCCACGCTGAAGGCCAAGGCCCCCCTCAAGAAGCGCACCGCCGAAGACGACAGCCAAGATCTCGACGACGAGGCCTCTGGCTTCTCGAATACGCCTCCGAGCTCGAAGAAGCAGAAGGTGGACCCTCCGCCCAAGAAGGCCAACGGCGTACCCCTGGCCGAGGTTGAGAATGATAGCCTGGTCCTCGAGGAGATGCCCAAGGCGCCGTCCAATACGAAGTCAGCCACCGACACCTATCAGAAGTTGACACAGCTGCAGCACATCATCAAGCGTCCCGATACGTATATCGGATCCGTCGAGAGGACAGAGCAACAGATGTGGACCTTCAACAAGGAGACGCAGCTCATGGAGTACAAGAACGTCGCCTTTGTTCCCGGTTTCTACAAGATCTTTGACGAGATTCTTGTCAACGCTGCCGATAACAAGCAGCGTAATGCCTCCATGACGCACATGAAAGTCACCATCGACAAGGAGTCAGGTGAAATCAGCGTCGAGAACAACGGGAAGGGAATTCCGATCGTCATGCACGAAAAGGAAAAAATCTACATTCCCGAGCTTATTTTCGGTCATTTGCTTGCTGGTTCCAACTTTGACGACGAGGAGCAGAAGACTGTCGGTGGTCGCAACGGTTTCGGTGCCAAGCTCTGCAACGTCTTCAGTACTGAATTCACTCTTGAGTGCCAGGACTCAGAGAACGGGAAGAGGTACAAGCAGACCTGGACCGACAACATGCAAAAGATGGGCAAGGCCAAGGTCACGTCAAACAAGACGGCAGACTTTGTCAGGGTCACCTTCAAGCCCGACTATAACCGATTTGGTATGCCTGATGGCATCGACGCCGACCTCGAGAGCCTCCTCTACCGACGAGTCTACGACATGGCCGGAACCGTCCGCGGCGTCAAGGTCTACCTCAACGGTGAGCAGATCAAGGTCAACAACTTCAAAGCATACTGCAACCTGTACGCCAAAGCCATCGCAAAGGAGAGGACCGATGAGGAGGGCGGCGCCCCGACGTGCTCTGTTGAGATGGAGGATGACAAGGGGCACCCGCGATGGGAAGTCGGCTTTACCGTTTCGGATGGTACTTTCCAGCAGGTTTCCTTTGTCAACTCGATTGCCACCACTTCGGGAGGCACCCATGTCAACTACATTGCCGACCAGATGACAGCAGCGCTGCTCAAGGCCCTGAACAAGAGGCGCAAGGGCCACAGCTTGAAGCAGACCCATCTTCGCAACCACATCTTTGTCTTTGTCAACTGCCTCATCACCAACCCGTCCTTCAACTCACAGACCAAGGAGCAAATGACGACCAAGCCCAGCCAGTTTGGTAGTAAGTGCACCCTGAGTGAGAAGTTCCTCGCAAAGATTGGCAAGTCTGATGCCCTCGAGAACATCATGGACTTTGCCGAGAAGAAGGCCGACAAGATGATGGCCAAGAGCGATGGCAGCAAGCGATCCCGTGTCAGCAACGCCAAGCTTGTCGAGGCCAACTTGGCTGGTACGAGGCGCGGTCATGAGTGTACTCTGATCTTGACCGAAGGCGACTCCGCCAAGGGTCTGGCCGTGTCTGGACGTGCCATCCTAGATCCTGACCGCATCGGTGTCTTCCCTTTGCGAGGAAAGCTCCTCAACGTCCGCGATGCCTCGCTGGATCAGATCACGAAGAACCAGGAAATCCAAAACATCAAGCAATTCCTGGGCCTGAAGCACAAGCAGACGTACACGGACACGAGGAACCTGCGCTACGGCCATCTCATGGTCATGGCTGATCAGGATCACGATGGAAGTCACATCAAGGGTCTCCTCATCAACTTCCTCCAAGTGCAGTTCCCCTCGCTGCTACAGATACCCGATTTCTTCCGGGAATTCACCACGCCCATCGTCAAGGTGTGGCAGGGTTCGGATCCGAAGAAGCCCCAGAAGCTCAAGTCCTTCTTCACCCAACCAGAGTACGAGGAGTGGAAGGCAGAGCATTCGAACGAGCTCACACGATGGCAGAGCAGGTACTACAAGGGTCTAGGAACCAGTACCAACGAGGACGCACAGGTGTACTTTACACACCTCGACGACCACCTGAAGGAGTTTGATGTCATGAAGCCTGAGGAGGCTGACATGTTTGAACTGGCTTTTTCCAAGAAGAAGGCTGACGCTCGTAAAGAGTGGCTCGGAAACTTCATCCCAGGAACCTATCTGGACCACTCCACCAAGTCCATCACCTACAATGACTTTGTCAACAAGGAACTTATCCTCTTCAGCATGGCTGACAACATGCGATCCATCCCTTCCGTTATCGACGGTCTCAAGCCTGGACAGCGCAAGGTCATATTCGCTTGCTTCAAGCGAAACCTGGTCAAGGACAAGAAGGTGGTCGAGTTGGCCGGTTACATCTCCGAACATACAGCCTACCACCACGGCGAGCAGTCACTTCAGCAGACCATCATTGGCCTGGCACAGAACTTTGTGGGGTCCAACAACGTCAACTGCCTCGAGCCCAGCGGCAACTTTGGCTCTCGTCTTGCCGGAGGTTCCGACGCCGCCAGCCCCCGTTACATCTTCACTCGTCTGTCTCCCTTTGCGCGCAAGATCTTCAGCCCCCTAGACGAGCCTAGTCTTACCTACCAGTACGAGGAAGGCAAGCGCATTGAGCCCAATGTGTACGCGCCCATCTTGCCGATGGTGCTCGTCAATGGTGCCGATGGTATCGGTACAGGTTGGAGTACCAGCATCCCCAACTATCACCCAATAGACATCATCGCCAATCTGAGGCGCCGAATGGGTCGCGACGAGGCTTCCGAAACCACCGAAGAGCAACCCTTCTCGACCATGATGCCGTGGTTCCGCGGTTGGAAGGGTGCACCTGAGGCGGCTGGCCCAGACCGGTACAAATTCAACGGAATTGCCTACCAGAATGACCAGAACGCCAACGAGTTTGTTGTCACGGAGCTTCCCATCCGCGTTTGGACCGACGACTTCAAGGCAAGACTCGAGAAGGTCATCAGCGGCGCCGATGGCCCGTCCTGGATCAAGGATTACAAGGAGTTCAACGACCACAAGACTGTTCATTTCGAGATCCAGGTCGACGAGAAGCACGTCCCCAAGATTCTTGAGGAGGGCATCCTGGAGCGCTTCAAGCTCCAGAAGCAGGTGGCCACGTCCAACCTGGTCGCCTTTGACACCAACGGCCAGATTCGCAAGTACGACAAGGTTGAGGATATTCTCGAAGAGTACTATGCTTACCGCCTCGACATGTACTCAGAGCGCAAGGTAAGTCGCTACGCTTGCTAGCTGAACAGGGCGAAGACGCGGGCTGGGTGCTAACACTGTTCTGTCTAGAAATATTGGCTGGGTGTTTACCACTCCGAGTACCGAAAGCTCTCAAACCAGGCTCGTTTCATCGAAGAGATCATCGACGGCGACCTTGTCGTTGGCAAGAAGAAGAAGGACGTCCTCGTCAAAGAGCTCCGCGAGCGCGATTACGAGGCTTTTCCTCGTAGCGGCGAGACCGGCAAGAAGTCTACCGAGGACGAGATCAACCGGGAAGAAGACGAAGGAGACGACGACGCAGACAAGACTGGTAGCGCGGGTGACTTTGACTATCTCCTCTCGGTAAGTTGAGAGTCGCTTGATGCTATACCTTGCTACCTAGACCAGGGAGCTGACATACTTGATAGATGCCCATCTACTCGCTGACCCTTGAGCGCCTTGAGAAGCTCAGGCAGCAAATTGGCAACAAGAAGGCTGAGCACGAGGACCTGCTCGCCCTCTCGGAAAAGGACCTCTGGTGCCGCGATCTCGACGAGTTTGTCGACGAGTGGGAGAAGCAGATGAAGCTTGATGCAGAGATCGAGACCAACATCCGCCGCATGGGTCGCCGGGCGTCCAAGAAGATAGGGGCGGGCCGTTCGCGCAAAGCCAAGGACGACGATGACTACGCGCCCGAGAAGAAGCCGCGGGCCAGGGCCAAGGCTGCTCCCAAGGCGGCAGCTGCCCCCGTCAAGGTCGAGACCAAGAGTGCCCAGAGATTTGCCGAAATGTTCAGCTCCGCTGCCAGCAAGGACCCCAAGCCCAAGGCCGAGCCGACCGACGATGACCCCTTCTCAGACGATGATTTTGCAACGCTGGGCAGGGGCAAGTCGGCGTCACAACCGGTGGAACCGCCGGCGCCCTCGCGTAACAAGCGGGCGGCAGCCTCCAAGGCCAAGACCCTGTTCGAAGTCGACAGCGATAGCGACGCGGACGATAAGGAGCAGGTGATGGACGATATTGACGACCTGGTCAAGGGCATCGACAAGCCGGCCTCGGGTGAGGCAAGCGGCAGGCTCAGCCTCCACGCCATGAGCCGACCCTCGGAGCCTAGCTCCGCCGGCCGGCCGAGGTCCAAGTCCAAGCCGTCGAGGCCGATAGACGTAGACACGGACAGCCCCGACGAGACCAATTACGAGCTGCTGGCCAAGTCTTCCCCCCAGAGGGTCCCCTCCACCAAGGGAGACGACCTGGGAGTCTTCTCGTCGGAGGAAGAGCCCCGTCCGGCCGTTTCTGCCAAGGCCAAGGGCAGGGCCGCAGCCACGGCGGCACCTGCTAAGAAGGTTGTCGCAGCTCGGCCCCGCGTGACGGCTGCATCCAAGGCTAAGGCGGCCCCCGCAGTCAAGAAGTCAGTCCTGTCGCCTGCGGCCAAGGCGTACGCCACTAAGAAGGCTTCTGCTTCCAAGAAGTCGGCCGCGGATTTCGCCATCAGTGACGACGATGATGACGACGACGAACTGATGGAGAAGCCTGCCGAGCCGGAATCTCCGCCCCCTAAGCCGGCGACGCGCACTCGTCCTGGACGTGCGGCGGCGGCGAGGAGGCCCGTTATCGTAGACGAAGACTCGATGAGTGATGAGGAGAGCGAGGATCCATTTGAGATGGACGACGATGATGACTAGATGTCTAGCTGGGGATGACGGGTGTCTTGCTGTCTGTCTGTGTTACTATTTTATATCCTTGTTTCTTGTTCGAATGGCCTGCCAGACGCGAGAGCTTTTGAAATGATTATTGCGATGAGAGTTCCTCATTACTGTTCTCTCCCCTTCCAATAAGACTTGCCGTGTAGTGCAAGCAACAGTAGCAGCATCACAATACTAGATGCTTACAGACGAGTTTCCGGAGGCTCATACCGGGTAACCTGATCTGGCTTTGTGGTGGTGCAGAAATGTGGGGGAAGGACCCTTGGATATTTTACCCCGCCACGAAGCACGAGTTTAAGGTGACAATGCCATGAAAAGAAGGAGGCTGTTGTTCACAAGAGCCAAGGTTATTCGCAATCGTGTCTGTCGCGTTCAGTTCCGGGGAGTGGAGCTGTCGAGGAGTTCTAGTAGTATCTGTACCAAGTCAACTGGTGAAAAGGCAAGGAGAGTATTGGTGGTTTGCCAGTGCTTACCTATGTAACTAAGATGTATCCATCCGCTTCTACGTAGCTGCAGCACAATTCTCGCTCCTCCATATCCAAGCAGCACGCACACAAACCGAGTTCACTCCTACTAAGATATAAGCATCCGCACGAGCGAGATACGATTCCGGGCAAACAGACTAGAGGCAGACGAAAATACCGACGATGGACGAACCGCAGTCCCTCCGGGCGCTATTCGAAGCAGCCGAAGTACAGCGTCAGGCAATCGAAACATCAACAGAGAGCAGCACGTCGGCATCGTACGTGAGCCGGCTCGAGTCAGTAATAGCGCTGTATACCAAGATGCTGGAGCAGATGTCGGCGGCGTCGCTCTTCTCGCCCAACGAGGGCGTGGAGGACATTGCGACGTCGGAGCTCCCGTTCCTCCTGACGTCGTTCCACCTGGCAGAGCTGGTGCAGCGGCTGCCGTCGCCGTCGCCGCCGGAGCGGCTACCGGTCCTGCGGCGGTCGCGCCTGGCGTACGACTCGTTCCTCAACCTGGTCGACGCGTACGGGCTCATCGGGCCGCCCTACGACAAGATGCTGGAACGGTACAGGGACGACGCGGACGCCTTCTCCGTGGTGCCGGCCGGGTCGGGAGCGGCGGCGCGCCGCGACGGCAAGATCGCCGGGTTCAAGGCGGAGAAGCAGCTCAGGGACAGGCTGGAGGTGCTGCGGCGCAACCCGCGCTACGTCGACACGGGGGACGAGGAGCTCGTGCGCCAGCTGCACCTCACCAACGTCACGTTCCGCGTTCACACCACCTTCGACGCCATAGACTCGCTGAACCGAGAGCTCGACATGCTCAGGAACATGCCCGCCACCGCGCCGCCGCCGCCCGAACACGGCCGGCAGGAGACGGAGCTGTCACGGGAGGACGCCGACCTGCTGCGTCTCGACCAGCCGCTCCGCCAGCGCATAGGCAACCCCGGCCCGCTCCTCTCCAAGCAGGGCAAACCACTCCAGCCCTTCACCCTGCTAGGGTCCAACTCGCGCGCCGAGATGAGCCGTGGCGTCTTCCGCCCCGGCCACAACCTCCCCACCATGTCCATCGACGAGTACCTCGATGAGGAGAAGCGGAGGGGTAACATCCTCCAGGGAGGGGTGGAGCCGCGCACCGTCATCGACGAGGACGACGTCGACGCTGCCGACCGTGAGACGTACAAGGCTAGGGAATGGGATGAGTTCAAGGATCATAACCCCAAGGGGGCCGGTAACACTATGAACATGGGGTGATCTCTTTCTCCTTCATTGCACGCGTTTCTGACTATTGGTATCCTGTCTTTCCATTTTTAAAAATAAAATGTAACTTGGGGACCGTCATGGGCAACCGACGTGGAGGAGCTTGGTAGCAACACAAACAAAGTAACATAAAGAAGAAAAATACATATTCTCTCCTATATGTGAGAAACAAATGCACGAGCGGTAAAACACATTGATCCCTGATATGTATTTGCATAATAACCCTTTTTTGTGTTCCCCCCCTTCCTTTTCCGCCTACTCCGTATATTATTAAAAAGCCTGATTCTCTCTCCCTTGATGAAACGCCATTTTAAATGCCCAAGAACGCCCAGATGACTTCTCCCACCTGTAAAATGAGCACCCCCCCTATTCACTGCCTTTGGTCACACTTTCCTTGTTTGATTCACTATCGTCATCCGTCCATTGCGACGACGTCGATGTAGCCTTGGCTTTGCCCTTGATATCCTTGGTCTCTCTGATACTCTTCCGACTGCTCGCCGGCCGCTTTGTCTCTGGCCCGGCCGGGATCTTACGTGGCGTCGACTCACCGGCATTGGCCTTGGCCTTTCGTGGCGGCGGCGGCGGCGGCTGCAGCTTCGGCGGCGGTAGTGCGGACCCGCTTCCACCGCCGGCGCCGGGATGGTCGTCGGATGAGTTCCAGCGCGACGTCGGCCGCGAGGAGCGCTCCTTCATCTCGCGCATCTCGCGCATCATGTCGCCGAAGCTCTCCTCGAGAGTCTTCATGCGCGCCAGGACGAGCCTGCCCATCCTGTCGCGGTCGGCCGCGTCCACCCTGCCCGCCCCGCGCCTATGATTGTCCTTCATCATGGCCATGGCCATCTGCGTCTGGAAGCTGCCGGCAAGGGGACCGTTGTGGTCGTCGTGCGCGCCGCCCAGGCGCAGGCTCGTGTTGTCTGACAGCATGCCAAGGTCTACCGACGAGGCGGAGCGCCTGGCGCTCTTGGGCCGCTTCAGCGACTCGATGCTTCGTAGGGCGGTGCGGGACACGCCGCCGCCGCCGACCTCGGGGATCGCTCGTGGGCCGACGGAAACGGCGCCTGTGAGGCGTGCGCCCGCTGCTGCTGCGGCGACGTTGTCTCCCGTGCGGCGGGGCGAGGCGCGCCGTCCGGGGGTTTTGTCGCCAGGGCGTCGGGGCGACGTGCGCCGTCCGGGAGTCTTGTCGCCGGGACGACGGGGTGAGCTGCGCCGTCCGGGAGTCTTCTCGCCTGAGCCGCGGCCGCTGGGACGGCTGCCACCATTGGGTGGCGGGGGGGCGACGGCCTTGCCGGGCGACGGGGGCGACGAACTCGGGCGGCTACTGCGCTTGCTGCTCTGGCTCATGTTCTTGGGGTTGTAAAGGATCGTGTTGGTCGACAGGGTGCGGTAGTGCATGCCCTGTCGCTTGACAGGCATGGGCCGCGGTGTCGTCGGCATCGCCCGGCTTGCGTCGCTGGGCGAGGACGAGTGCTTGCCTACTCGTGTCGTCATAGGTGTCGTGAAGTAGTCTTCATCTTCTTCATCATCACTCTCCTCGTCGTCTTCCTCGTGGAGCTCTGCAGCTGCCGCCGGTCTACCTCTGCCCGCGTTTGTGGCATTATCGTCCTCGTCCTCCTCTTCGTCGTTGGTAACGAGCTCGTCGTCTCCATCGGCATCTGTCTGGTCTGGCGCAATGTCCTCCTCGAGACCCTTGAGCACCATTGACCTCTTCTTAGGAGACGAAAGCCCGCCGACGTTGGACATGAGGTCTGCGGGATCGCTGGCTGCCGACCGCACATCCGACACGTGCCGCAGGTTGGACGGCCGGTCCCATGCCACGCTGAGCCTGCGCGGCCAGCCGGGGGTGCGACTGTCCAGGGTTGGCCAGTTGGCGCCCGAACCCGCGTCCGACTCGTGCTGGTCCATCCAGTTGCGGATGGCCGTCTGCGCATTGTGCCTCTCGTTGCGTCTCTGCGTTTGGAACGTGGCAGGTCCCGGCATGCGCCTGAACACCTCTTCTAGGGCGCGGTCCTTGTGGAAGCCGGCGACGGACTCCTCGCCCCCACGGATGTTGGGACTGAACATGACACTGCGGTGGGTAGGGTCGGTGAAGCGCAACGTCCGCTCCCAGCCGTGGCCCGGGTTGTCGACTAGATCCGTCGGCTCGAACATGCTCGGGGCCAACCACAACCTCTCATAGGCGTAGATGCCGAAGAGCACCGGGAAATGCGTGATTTTGATAATGGTGCGGTTGAGAAGCACAAACTGGCTGAGGGGCATAAAGTACCGTAGTGGCATGAGCAGCCAGGCGAAGATGTTGCTCGGGGCAATGTAGGAGAAGAGTGCGTCATTCTTGACCATGGAAATCGTGTTGATGGCAAATAGGAATCTGCGAAAGGAGAAATGTCAGCTTCTGTCTTTTCCTTCACGCCCTCGTACTTGTAGTTGTTGGCAAGAGAGTGTGTCACTTACTGATGCTCCTCGTTCGCGTTCAGTGCGATGGCCATGAATGAGTTTGTCAGGACGGTAATGAGAATGGTACTACGCTACAGGTCAGCAGTGCAACCGACAGGACAAGTTGCAGGGGCAAACCACTTACACGATCAGGAAGTGACAGATGAAGAGGAATAGGACCAGGAGAGCCCTGCCCAGCCAATTGTATGCTGGCCACGCATCCCATGCCGCGGGCGTAAAGCCCATGAGCAGCTGAAAGATCTGGTAGGCAATGTCCGCTCCACCCGTGGTGTTGCTGTTAGAATAGGTGAAGAAGACGTAGAAGCCGCTGCACATGATGAGCACGAGGGTGAAGACGGCGACGAGGTCGACGACCATGAGGCGGAAGGCGATGAGCAGCTGCGAAAAGTACTGGTAGTGGTCGAGGATGCTAAAGATGCGTGGCAGGAGGAGGATGGCGTTGGCGGCCAAGACGTCGTAGGCCATGTCGTTCCAATGGTGCGGGTCGACCATGAAGACGCCGTAGACGCGCATGCAGTAGTATGCGATGAGTAGCACGAGGATGCCCAGGTCGAACAGGTTCCACACGCTCATGATGTACAGCGCGAAGCCCTGCTCGTTGAAGCCGACCAGCTCGTCGAGCATGAAGCCCGCGCTCCAGAACCAAAAGGTCAGCTCTAGTCCGGTGATCTGTGTGGACCGCCTGGTCAGCACAGCCAGGAACAGGCCGATGAGTATGGCCAGCGACAGCGTCGACAGGAACGACCTGTACCGCGGCACGCGCAGGCGTGACAGCTTGAACATGGACGCCTGCTTGGGGTCGTAGAGCATCACGGTGCGCCTCCCCGCGGGCACGTCGGCCAGTGCCGAGGCGGACGAGCCCTTTCTCGCCGAGGCCCCGCCGAGAAGAGGCGTGCGTGCATCAGGCTTGATGGAGCCGCTGCTGCTGCCGCCGCCGGGGTTCCCACTGGTACCGGATTCGTTCCTGGCCGGTTTACGGTGCAGGCTGTCGGCGGCCGAGTAGAATGTAATGGCGCCGTTCCAGATGGCCTCCAACTGCTGGACGACGACGGGGTGGGCGAGGAAGTGCTTTGCCGAAGCGCGGATGGCCACCTCGAGAGTCGAAGTGCGGGATCCCGAGAGGGCGGCGGCGGCGGCAGCTTTGGAAGTGCGGCCGGTGCCGCCGGCGCCGGCGCCGCCGTTGCTCGTGTTGTTGGTGAGCGACGAGTTGCCCGCGCCCGCGGTGGCCGCCGCTGCTGTGACCGTGGCAGCCGTGACGCCCGGGAGGCCCTCGAGCGGGTAGAAGTCGTAGGCCAGAGCGTCTATCAGCTCGCGCAGGGAGTACTCCTTGAGCATCTTGAGGGCGAGCAGTTCGCAGACCTTGGCGCGCGTGTTGCTGATGCCCGCATTGGCGGCGTATCGTTGCCCCTCCTTGGAGAACTGCAGGCAATTGGCCAGAAGGGCGTACAAGGTGCCACGTGAGAAGTGCTGGGTGCGGATCTGACGCTGCATGGGCTTCACTAGGAACTGGGAGATCTGGGGGGACCGGAGCTGCTCCCATGTCAGAGTCGTCTCGGTGCGTGCGCAGACGATAATTCGGATGGCGTGGGTGACGCGGTATATGGGGATGGAGTCTGCAATGGCACGACGATGCGGTTAGCATTGCATTGCATTGCATTGAAGCGAAGCACACACGTATATCCCATATGCGTGTGGGTATAGAGCTGACCTAGGTGGGATGTAGAGAAGAGTGGTAGAATGGGCAGTTTGCTTCGTCGGTCGTGCTGCTCTTGGTGACCACGGCCCTGGTCATCGTCCTCATTGTCACCATCATCGTCGTCGTTGTTGTCGTTGTCATTGTCGTTGTCGCGGTCTTGGGCCCTCCCGCGAAACCTGGTAAAGGGTCGTCTAAAGTGGCGGTTGGCCTCCTCGTCATCGTCGTCGTCATCATCATCGTCGTCTTTGTCGGCTTCGGTTGTGAAATCGGCCGTAGCATGCCTCCTAGGGCTGCCGTATAGTTGATCGCGTAGCGCACGTCTGGGAGATTGCTGGGGACGCATCAACGAGGAGAACATGGTGGGCTCGATACGATGATACCCTCCTCTATCGACCGGATAGGGAACAGGGATTGGCTCGACGGCGTCTTTCGCACGCTCTCTCTCTCTCTCAAGGGGCCATGGGCAAGATATTTAGTCTGATGAATTCCGTGCCCTTTCTCATAAACCCGCGACGATATGAACGAATTGTTCCCCGTGTCGTGGGTCGGGGGAGGGGTGTTGGGATGGAGACCTGGAGGGCGTGGGAAATACGCAGTAATAAATCCTGTGGGCCTCTTCTTCCTTCTTTGGTTCCTCTGGCTCGCAACCACCACAAGGAACGCCGCACTAAACAAAGCTGCTAATAAAGCATTTGTACGTATACTGATACGACGTAGCTTTTCTCGCTTCGGCAGTGGAACAGGAAACAGGACCGGACCGGGGGGGTCGATCAGAGAGGTGATAGACGTTTGAATGACTATGTCTCGCTGCATTTTGACTCCTTGTTTCCATGTCGACCAAGAATGTAGATCGGTACGCCATCGTGATCCTCTCCTCCCTCCCTCCCTCCCTCCCTCTCTCTCTCTTGCGCATGGGCAACGGTCATGGCCCGTGTCTCACTTCTCCACGGTTTGTGCACAAACTGACTAAGGCACTTTCATATTATTGTATTACTCGTTGAACAGAGCACGACCTTTCAAACGCGAATCTGTTCTCCCACACCAACCATCCTGTAGACCTTTAGCTTTTCTGCTCTCGTGGATAACCCATCCCCTGGGAGACCTCGATTTTGAGGGCGGCGGCGTCAAGTAGCTGCTTGGTCGGGGTATTATGCTGTCCACGATCGAGGGACGATACCTATCACGGCCTCGGCGAAAAGATGGCAGCCCGGCCATACATCACCTAGAGGCTAGTACTACGGAGTACAGACTACAGATTACTCCGCGCGTGGTCATGATGATATCTATCTGCGGGTGAAAAAAAGCGACCGCATGACACCTCCTCTGGACGCTTGTGGCCTGCAAGTCGCGCTTTGTGGTGTGGAACACGGCATGCCAGATCTCGACCACTTGCCAAGCGTCATTGGCTCCATGGCTCTATCGTGAACTGTGGACCGTGGGTACTCGAACCTGGTGCGTCGTACGCCTAGGGCCTAGAGCCTACGAGTACTTTGATTACTCGTAGAGGCCCTGTCGAATTCGCCGTGGCTGATTGATGGTCGCTCTCCCTCATGTGCCCATTGGCGACATCCAAGGATGGCTGCGAACTGTGCATGCGATGCACCCTGAGAGGACTAGAGGGCCCAACTAGCGTTGCATACATCGAGAGATCCTTGCCTTTGTCCAATGGGGCAGGAGGCCGGGGGGGGGAGGGGGGGGAGCGCGCGACGGATGGGTGTCTCTGGTCTGCAATCGTCAAAGAAGGTTGTCTGCTCTGGGTCATTCGAAGGATGTGATGTATTGCGGTAATACTGGTGATAATACTACGGCCGGTCGCTTGTTCTGATGAATGCTGATGAGTCGACATGCACATCATGCATGACTCGTAATAATCCGGTTGCTGCATGCCACCAGTCAGCATCAGCACTCTGTCTGCCCACGTTGGATCAGGAATCGAGAGCGGGCTGGGAGGGGAGTTTTGTTTCTTGCGCAAGCAGCTTGCCGCTTGTCTACCTCAGTACGGGTCTGAGTAGTGAGCTGCATTACCGGTCCTGAGCTCCATGAGGATCATGATGAAACGGAACGTGCAAGTGATAATTGTGGAGATGAAAGGTCGGTGGAGTGAGTATAGGGGGGTATTATGCTATGGCCCATGGCTGCGTGTGCGTGTGCATCAACGAAAGGATGGAGGATGGACAGCTTCGTGCGTCATGCCATACGCACGTTACGCAGTGCGAAGTAGAGCAACCTGTACAGATTACAGACTAGAGCACCAGTAGTAATACAAGCAGCAGAACCGGCATCCTGTGGGTGTGAAGAGTTGATCCCACGCTATGCCGTTTGCATCACCAAGTACCGAGCCATTCTTCGCTCAGATGCGTGGTGAGACTTGAGAGGGATGAAAGACTCGGTACGTATATGCACATGACAATCGCACTTGGGAACCGGCCATGGCGTAGTGTGGCTGGAGGTTGGTTGGTAATAGCTTGCGCCACAAATTGCAGGCTGATGCTCCTCGGGGACTTGGATACTCAGACTGAAAGGCAGTCGATAAGGGAGGGAAAAACCACTGAACAGGGCGGGTATTGATATACGCGTCGAATATCAAGAATACTAGATACAGGTATACGGGATATCTTGGAGGCTATTATCGAGTATTGCTGTATGGAGCGACGGGGTGTTGAATAGCAGGCAGTACTGGAGACTTCGTGTGCTGTAGCCTGTAGCCTCGACTGTTTGTTGTTTATGCTCTGACGCGCATTCTCATGCGTACGAAATGTGGGCTTCCTGTCTATGATGGTCCATTGCCACCGTGTCGACGCTCTCTACGCGTAATTTACTCGTACATAGGTATTACGTCTCGACTCCTGGTACCTGTACAGGGCCTCCGTGCGAGTCGTTTGGGGGGGCTGTAATAGACTATAGAAGCCTACGGATGTACAGATTACAGCGCGTCCTCTGACGACCAGACCAGTGGGGATTCTGGAGATAGAGGGAGGGAGGGGGAGAGGGAACTTCGAAGGCACCGGAGAGAGAGAGAGAGAGCCTTCAGCCTACGAGTACCTGTAGGCAAAGGAGGTCGAGGCGCTAGAGTGCTAGGACAGTCGCACACGGCCGACTGTGGGGATGCCACATTCAGGGGAGCGAATAGGCTCTCCCACGGTAGCAACGGCCCCCCCGGCGCCCCTTGAAATTGAAAGATTGTCAGTCGTACACGCCCCTCATGCCTCCCCCCGAAAAAGTCGCGTTGATCCCGTACACTTCTCCGTCGAGACTGGTTAATGACAGGAATAATTACGGAGTAGATAAATTCATCATTACCCGTACACTCTCGTCGTAAATGAACATGTGAGTAGCGGTAGCGAGTGGAGGGGGATCGTTATTACTGTTACCTGCAGTACTAATAATGTACGAGCACATTATTGCTATTGCATCGGACATCCTATCCCGTTCCACAGACCACCATACTCTGTCTCTCTGTTGCCTTGCCCTTGGCATCGGCTGCCCTTCAACTCTTTTGACCGCGTACAGACTTCCAATAGTCCACCCAGCATACCCGGACTACTAGCACCGGTATTGCTTCGTTAGCGGCTCTCTCGTCAAACTTGTCAGACACACCAAAGATCTGGCCCGACTCCTACGTTTCAGATCCCCCTCTATGCCCTTGGGATCTCATCGATTGACCACCACCCTCACGCACTTTGGCCTTGCTGTTTCCTGCTCATCGAACTCTGGCACGTGTGGCATGGGCCATAATTGAATCACTGACACCACTACATACCGCCGCTTTACCCCCCCCCC